AAAGTGGGGAAAAAAAGCACTCAGATTGCACACATCAGAGTCTATTATAAGTCTACTGTTATCTTAAATAATAAGGAAAGTAAAATAGAATAAAATCAACTCAGTCTGGAGCTTTGATTGCACTTGTTTCAGGAGTAATTACAGATGTGTATATTGTACTTTAGCAGCGGAGAATATGAACAGAATAAACAATAGTAACAAAATCAGCAGGTAAAGTGACTAAGATTATAGATTTTGTTGATCTCACACTGGAAAAACTTGCATGTCATATTTGGCGTAGATAGAATTACTCAGATTTGTGCAAATGACAGAATTGTGCAACATGTTGAAGGCAAAAAATAAAGTCTGTTGAGGATATATTATTAATGCAGTAATAATAACAACAACAGGAAAAAGTGACTAGTGACATTACAATCATTCTTCATTTTTTCACTACATTGACAAACAGTGTATTTTTCCCCCAGCAGTAGGCATGTTTCAACAGCTCATCAGGAAAAGGCTTGGCAGAGAGAACGAGGAAATAAAAATAACGCAGTGCCAGAACCTCACCTGCAGAGGAAAAGGAGCCCGTTAAAATCAAGCTGAAAGCATGAAAATATGAGCAGCGTGTTTGGCAGCAGTGATGAACCCACACAACTGAAGAAAACGTAACGTGGCATAAATAGAAAGATAATGCGAACACTGCAGTCTTGGACATGATTCTGATTTCAAGTAAATATGATCCATACCAATGAATATTTAATGAAGATAACGCCGTTACCCTTTTGAGGCAACAAGATGCACTACAGAAAGAGAGAGAACAAACTGGAGACATTTTGGCAAGAAGAATGTAATTTCAACATGAGAAGGTCAACTGGGTCCAGCCTTTCCCACAGCAATGAGCAGAACAGAAGCAAGTGTCGAGCCATTGGACGGTACCAGTACTTCTACAAAAATAGTTCTCATTTAGATTGTAAACATAGGCAAAGGAGAAGGCATGGGGAGATTTAAGGAATTGAGTTTCAGTGCTATGTGATTTCTACATTAAAATTGCCTATAGATAACTACCCTAAAAAAATGTATAGCCATTATGGAATTTACTAATTTACGTATATGATGTAGAATGGTATATGGGGTAGTTTGACAATATATCGTCTCAGTTTTGTTGAGAAACATGATTATGTGCATCAGATTGGAATCTGTAATAAGTAAATTATTTGTTTATTTGGATGGGTCAGTGGGTAATAATGAACAGCAGTGCGGCAAACACTGAATATTGCAGGCTTGGGTCAATTACCATCTTTAGTTCCACATTCACACCCACAAACACACGAGTGTAAATGTGTGTCTGACCTCGAGACAGTCAGAAGATTTCCTGTCTGGAGGTAGAATCGAACCCAAGCCATAACCACTGCATCACTGTGCCGCCCAGTTAACATTGCAGACACCGGCAAAATGTAGGTTTCTGGCCATTTTACAAAGAATGAATGATTGAACAAACAAATGAAAACCCTGAATCCCTAAAATATAGATCTTCAAGTTGTTACGGTAGTTATCGTGTCAGGGCTACACTTACATTCAACAGGCAGTAAGTTTAAGAAAAGAAAATCATCCTCAAATAACATGAATCAAGATTCAGACAGTTGGAGTGAGAGCTCTGGGAGCGTCAGCACTGATGCATCTACACATTGTTTCAAAGACAAAGAGACTTTTCAAAAGAAGTGTGCGAGGGACACGAGGGATGGGACTGCCCCATACAACGACTGGCCCAGTGCTGATCTCGGCATTTGTCCCAGCAGCAGAAGAATGAACTATGAGAAGAATATTGGTGTTTCATTTGATCAGTGTTACAGCGTCAAGATTACAAAATTATATGACAGTATTTCAAAAAGTGTGTTTAAAGAAAAAATATGTTGGAGAATAAGCAAAGTTGGTCCAGGATTACAGCCAATAACTAAGGCCACAATGTACTGGCAGCACAAACAGAACAGAAACAGATCCTAGAGAACTCTCTGAATGTGCCTTTGTGGATCAAATGGCAGGTTTCATATTTTATCAGGCAGGGCTCTTCTAAACAGGACTGATGTACAGGTCTGCTGTGAATTGTCTGCTTTAAAGCCCAGACGACAGGTTTCTTATTTCCCTAGACATGGTTACAATTAATATAACTTAGGTAAAGTTTATAATTTAGCTTACGGAAATGGCAGCAGTATGACATTGGTCGAGGTAGATTCCAAAGCCAGGAAGAGTTTACCAAAGAAAACAGGGACCAAACCCATGTTATTTCTATAATAGTAATATTATATAAGTAGAAATATGAGACATCCACTTCTATGTTGTTAAATACATGTTTTAAGATGTCAGTCAGATTATTGTGAAATGTCTTGCATCTTAAACATTGTGTCACAAACTAACTTACCATCAATATTTACCAAGGGCTTGGCCCACCAAGACAAATCATTGTCCAAGTATTGTGTAAAAATGTAACCCACTACTCTACTCACGCTTTAGCCGTGTCAGAAGGTGAGTCAGAAGGTGCATATTACAAGTTGAAACAATATGAGACTGTGAGATTGTTACGGTCAGCCACTAGAACGTGCACTCGGAGAGCACATACTCTGCCAGGGCTAGAAAGGTGTCTTCCATTCTTTGTATCTTCTTCAACTGGTAAAATATTTTTTCAAAGAGTGGGAAGTTGGGAAGCAAGTAGGTTAGAGATATACAAGGCTTACGCTGACTACAAATCAGAAAAGGCTTTACAACTCCAGAAACATGCCGCAGTAACCAATCTCTATTGGGCAACCTCGACTTTGTGGACAGGCTTGGAACCACTCACGGCTCCAACAGGTCCATGAGCATGTGTGCTGACATTCTTGCAATCTCACGCCAAGCCGGTGGGGGTGGACCCGGAAAGAGAATTACCCAATGCTTTTGTGTGCCACTTTCTTTCCTTTCAAAAATGTATTTTCAAGATGGCCCAAAAGTCGTTCTTGGCTCAACGCTACGTTCCTGATGCGTATCAATGTTGAGGGGAGTGGACCTTGTAAATGGACCAGTCAAGTTTAGCCGCTATGAACTACCCCATGGCCATTCTTAAAAAGCAAGAAGCAAAAGTGGTGGCACATTAGCTTCAACTGTGGATATAGGCATTACTACGTCCGCTAATATTTACAGTCAATGCTTGGAACCCAGGGCTCCTCACTGAGGCAATCATACACAGAAGATCTACTGCATTTAGTTAGAAAACAAGCAGAAACTCATTGTATAATTTTTGTTGGAACTTAATTAGAGACAAAAGGTAAAGCCTATACTACTTTTTACCCTCTGGGATTGTTGTGCAGGATATTACAAGGCTCATTCTCAGCTGTGCGGGAGCAAAGAAGGTGTGCAATAGCAGGGGAAGCATGCATTTGTTTACGTCACATCAAGACAATGAGACATAGTTTCAGTACAGCGACATGTTTGAAGTAACGGAGAGAGGAATGTGGTTAGACATCCCCAAGAGGCAAATAGTCACTGACAATCCCACACCATGTCATCACATTTAAGAACAAATTGTGAACATTTCTGATCAGCCAGAAATCAGATAATTATCCATATAAACCAATCACAGAAACTAGTTACTCATTTAAAGAAGTATATCCAATTATCCATCTATCAAATTGAGGGGCAAAAATGTGAGATTTCGATCTCAGAACTAGTACAGAACCTTGTGGTACTATTAAACCATACACAATAATGTATGTAAACCTGTATTGATGAATCTGAACCTTTATTTGTTTGTTTTTGTTATGCAATATTGTACATATTTGTAATGAAAATGAAGGAGACCTCAGGTAGGAGCTAAAGGGGCTCTCAATACATTTAAATGAAATATTGCCCCTAACCTATAGCTTTATGGTCAAAGGGTGTGTGTGTGGATGATAATACAAGAAAAAAAAAATAAGTTTGAGTGTGTGTCTTGTTTTGGTTCCTGATCTCAATTTTTTGTCAACTGGAATTATGTCCTTGTTATACTTGCTGCTTTTTGTTCTTCGTGAAAAGTAAAAATCCAACAAATACACTTAGAAAAAAACGATGACTAATGTTTTTTATCTATCTTAAATTAATATCATTGGTTTGAAATAGAGTACTAATAGAATACCGCTAATAGCCATTGATTTTTCTAGGGAGACTGACTATTGGCTAAGTCAGTAGTGCAAAATAGAAAGCATCAATTCAGCATTAATGTTCCAGCTGTGTGCACCCGGTGTCAGACACAACAAAGCGTGGTCATCAGACTGAGATTGTCACAGCTCCGTGGCAGCGTCAAATTAAGTCAAAGCAGACAGCGCAACGTGATCACAGGGAAATGTGCGTAATTTAGCATAACCCTTTATAACTGCAGACCCTGTGCGACAGTCAAATACAGTTACAACATACACTACATTATCCGAACAGTGTTGCAAATCAAGCCTTTAGACAAAATACAAAAAGGATTTCATTTGGTTTCGCCTAGCAACAGTGCGTTGCTATGGCAGTCCAACCTGCGGCACGAGACTTCGCTCGTGCGGTCTCGAGAATGTTTCTTTTATTTCTCAGGCACAAGACACGATGACACCAATGTACCTTATAGTTTCACACTTGTTTGCGCGGAGTGACGTGGTAGCATGAAAGTTTTGTTCCTGTTCTGTTACTGTCTTCCGCCGAGAAAAACATCAGGCATGTGTTCACTGTATATGATATAAAGCTAGTACTCAACAGGAGACCCGGTGCTCAGACCATGCCCTGCCTTGCTAGCTAACTACAAGTTCGTAGCTGATAGTTCAGATATTGCAGCAGACCACTACCTCCACACGGGTGCATGCTAGTAACTTAAGCTCATTAGTCATGTCAAGCAGCTAACCTGCCTTGGCTGCTCGGCAGAGATCGACGTGTTGTTAACCCATGGTTGTTAAACGTTTTAACAGCTAGCAAAACTAGCATCGGTCGTAAGAGAACTCCCACGCCAACAGCTAATGACAGAATGGACGAATACTTACTTTTATGTCTTCCGGAAGCCCATGATTGTTTAGCGATACTAGGACTCCGTATGATCGCCCTCCCAGCTGATTTCAAAGCGTCCATATCCAGAGAAGTGGAGAGAAAACCTCAATAACACTCGGTAAAAGCGTTCACCTTGCACTCACCACCTCAGCCCTGCTCTGAAACTTTCCTCATCGTCCCTGTGCTCGGATCATTTTCAATCGACAGGAGATCACGCTGTTCGTCCCTCTGGGCGGTGTTATGTAAATGAGTCAGCTCTGACAGCCACACGCTCACAGGCGCTGAAACCTCACAGGCCTACGTCAGCACAGAGTAGTTACATTACAATGAGGACCCATGGTGTTTCCCTTACTTAGTCAGACTGTTGAAAATGCACTTTCGCCAGGCTTTAATACTGGAGAAGTCTTGTTTAAAGGTATCTGTGGACAAGACTGGCCTATGGACATAATAAGACTGGTGATAATGTTCAGGTTGTTGCGGAATGCCTACGTAAGTGGTTTGAATTGCAGTAGTCTACAAATTATGTCAAGTTGGAGGTGTGCTTGTTTTGCATTATTTTTATATCCATGTACGCCCATTTTTAATGTTTTATGTGAATATTCAGCACGTATGCCAATAGTGTCAGTCAAGTATCAGTGTTAAACAGTGCCTCCTAGTGGAGATGGTGTGCACGTCCTCAAAAGGTTACATGTTTGGCGTTTCTTTCGAATGGATTTTTTAGGATTAACTTAAACTGTACGTCACCTTTCTCAGGTCGACTTATGAAAACGTCTTTCTGAACACTTTCAACTTTATTTTTGCACAATGTGCTCTTTTCAAACTTGGGAGTTGGGTGACACATTTCACAGCATGTGTCTCATCCATGAATCCACCAATGAATGGCACAACTCCAGGTGGGAGGTGAGGGAGGTGTGAGGCTCCAAGTGTCACTACAGACCACTCAAACTTCACGTCATGCCTATGTTCCCACTTTTCCTTCATCGTCAAGTTGTATCAAATTGGTCTTCTCACCATAACTCACCATTGGTCTTGAACTATCCACTGATCAAAAACATTTCATGTTTAAAATTATGCCTGCCAAGGATGTTGGTGAGCACTATGCATCAGCCACTTCTTTGAATTGGAAGAGTGGGCAGTGGTCAAATCAATACAGAACAGCCCCACACTTAGTAGTAAAGTGACCATGAATCCATACTACCAAAGTATAATCCAGTTATTGTGACCCCCCATGAACAAAACAGGCCTCATTTAATCCTTATGCTATCCTTTGGTCAAAGTGACCCACCAGTGATTAAAAGTAGAAGAAAAATACGGGGTCTAAATGACCAAACTAGTCAAGACATCAAAATTCAGCTCAACCCAAGGGTTAGAATTCATGGACCACAACACTCTGCTCATGGAGGTCATTGCAAAATGCCTGCAGCACACCGGTTTACCTCAAGTGGCCTGCAATAAATGCAGACTGCCACAATCCACAAAAAATATTGTTCACTTTTTACGATTAGAAAGTCATAAATATGAAAAAAAGAATCAGCTGCGAGAAAAAAAACTTTATTCCTTGTAAACCTCACAGAGCCAGAGTGCAGCCTATATCAAACCTGGGGATAAACAGAAGTGCCTGTGGCTGACAAAAATAAAATAAAAATGTCTTTTGGAAGATTCCAACTAAACTGTCAATCTCGTTTTTAAGAGTAGCCAACAACAGCGATCTGACTACTACTGCTTCAATGAATGTGAATACCACACACACACAAACACACGCACAAACATAATCTCCATTTTTAGACTATGTTGAAACCATCAGACTCAGGGAATCGCTTCCCAAAGGAAATAGTAATACTTTGAAACTATCCATAAGTTGCAAATACTGTAACATTCACAAAATAGATTTTCTAATTCCTTGCTTTTTCAACTAGAACAGGGGTTCTCAAACTTTTAGGTCAGGGCTCTCAAAAAGTGCATTAAATAAACTTACAACCCCCACTGCTGAATCGTGCTCTGTCATCTACCCATTTTCACTTATACTTTTCAGTCAAAACATTTGTGAAATAGTGTGCATTGTGTGGCCTGTACTTTATCCTGGGTTAGGCCCCATCGTTTGAGAACCACTATCCTAGAGTAATGAGATCATTTCAGCTTAACAGACTTCTATGAACTTATATTAGGACAGTTTATCATGTCTGCGCATGTATTTGCAGTACATTCTTGCACATACGACTAACTCACAAGGAAAGTGTGATATTATAAATATTAAGATGACTTTTCTGAAGTGTTTGATCCGTTTACATTGCACTGTCCATCTCCTGAAAAGATGTCCCTTTGCTTTTGTTGGCAATGCCTGTGTAATGTAACCCCAAAACAGGGAATAAATAAAAATGGCATAATTTAGACAGCCGTGGGGAACGATAAATTATTAATTGTACCTGAAATTACATAGCCGTCATCTTTAGTATACTTGACACAAAAACTAAAGGCAACTCATGAGTATCTTAAACATTATGTATTAAATCAAGGCACTGTGATCGGAACAATTTAAATGGTTCTGTGAAATATTAGACATCGGGACGTGCTCAAATCATTGGGTCAAACGATTTTGTCTTTGACTGAATTCATGAATTTGGTTTCCGATTTTTTTTATGGATTAACTTGCGTGTAAGTTTGTGCTAACGTCACACTACATTCAGCAATTTGTACAAATATTTAGTTTTTAAATTGGGCGTATGGGGGGGGATTATATTTTCACACAAAACAGCAGTTCAACCCCAGGACCAAACTTCAGTAACTGGCAACAGGGAGTTGCACCGACAGTGGAAAATGCAGAGCAACGCCATAATAGTTACATACCCGATTCTGCGAGGTTTCACTAGACAGAAAACAAAACCTGGGGCATCCATAAAAACTGATGTCCGTAATAGTTTTTTGTCTTTTTGTTTTAACTACAACAAATACAGTCACACAATACAACATCCTTCGGACCTGGCATGGTAAAAACAAAACGGAAGAACACATTCTCAGCCGCAGACATGCCGAGTAGATTGAATGTGATGAGTCCACTTGAAAAAAAATAAAACAAATGGATGAAAGGAAAATGTTGGAGCAAAGCGCTCATTTTTTGAGTGGCTGGTAAACTGAGGCGTTGGGGTCCAGGCCGGAGGAATTTGTGTCCATGAACTTGGAGGAGTAGTGTGGGGCCACAGGGCTCATGCTGCTGGTGTCGGCTGCATACGAGATGCTGGGCATCACAGCCATAACTTCGGCTATCTTTTGCTTTAAATCTTTTATTTCCTGGTCCTTTTGTAAAATTTGGCCTTAAAAACAAAATATTTTAAAGTTATCGACATGCCACAGACAACACAAACTAAGCATGCTGCAGTTGTGCAAACCTTGTGCAATCTCAAGCTGTCTCTTGGCATCTCCGAGTGCAGAGAAGAGGTCTAGTTTGATCCTAGTCTCTGCACTCAGGCTGTTTTCTAAGTGCTGTGTTTTGTCCTGCATGGCTGACAATGCAGACATAAGTACCTCTGTGTCCTTTTCATTCTCTTTGTATTTATGAAGTTCCTGCAACACAAAATAGTCGTGAATATGAGTTGATTAAAACATCCAAAGTTCATGTTGGTGTGAAATATGACATGGTATACATAGTTTTAAAGCTAATTTTAGATTTAGTATTTTGCTATAAATACTAAACCCTGAATGCAAAAACAAATGTGTGTACATTTGCTCTGATGTTCATATATTTTTTCACACACTCACACACATGTGAGAGTGGATAGGGATGTCTGGGGGTCTGCATCGACTGCTGCCCCCGCGACTCAAACGAATGAAGCGGAAGAAAATGGATGGTTTAAACTTCAGCTGGACTCTCCCTCCCTCATCTATCCTCCTCTCCAATAAATTGAGTTTAGGACCCTCATTTTAAAGCAAAACCTGAATCTATTTTGTTTGTGTAACATCCATGTATAGATAACCTTTTGCATCTTGTTATGTTTGTGTATTTACTTTTATGAAGGGCTTGCTAAATAATTATTCATATCGAATTTGGAATATTTTTGGGTAGTTTTAGATTATTTTACTAATTTCGCTTTTATTTTTCAAATGAACTGTTACCAGTTGTGCTTTTCTCAACTGCTAAAACTAACTTAACTGATTAAACGTTTCCTGAAACAAAAATAGCTGTAAAATTTAAGTTATGAGCGGGCCAGTACATAGCAAATACAATTTTGTCTGCTTTAAACATAAGGGACTCCAACAGTTGTGTTTTTAAATACCAAGTGCTGTGGAGTTTGTCTGTTTTTAAGCAGACAGAATTGTACTTGTATAAGGAACCCACAATCTCAAAAAAAGCACCTAGCTGGCTTCAATCTCACTTTTTACATCCATGTAGCTTACTTAGGCTGAGTTTACACGGAGACAATGTGGCAGTAAAACGGTACAGTTGGATGTCGGTTTCTACCAACCGTTCATACGAAGACTGTGTTTCAGGGGGGTGAAAACGTAAGTGTTCAGATCCAGCCTGCAGAGTGGGACAACTCTTTCACATCCGCGAGAGGGGAAAAGGTGTGAAATCCCCCTCTGCTCTGACCCCCGCCTCCGCGCTGCTCCCCGCACGTAAATTTGGACATGCGCAGTAGCGGAGAACAAACATCAACAACAATGGCGGCGGTCACACTAACTAGCTTCGTGGGCTTCGAGCGCGGCACAGAGGATAATTCTACTCCTTCGTTCGTCCAAACGAGACCACGCGAAGCTCTAGGTTCAGTTTCCATTTTCACAGCTGCTGTTAAAATGCAGAATGATGTTGGTGCGTTCTGAGGGTCTGGCACAGGAAGTGAGTACACTGCCGAGAGGGGGGCTGGGCACGGGCTGGGGGTTGTGTGAGTGTTGTAAAGTTTCTCTGCCCACTACTGGCCGGGCGCTAGAACTACATCGTTTTTCAACCTCATGTGAACGCAGAGAAATTTGCATTAGGAGCCAGGTCGTTTCTGTTAATAGCCTGGAAACGTCTGCACAGCGTCTCAGTATAAACAGGGCCTAATTATACTCTCTGAAGTTTAGTGGTTGGTTGGGAACATAAAAAAAAAAAGTTTTTAAACCATGTTTCAATCTAAAATACAGTTAGATCCATTTCAATTACCTTCCCAATATTATTTTCATCTTTCAGAGAGCTTTGGAAGAGCCATTAGAGTACAACAATAATATCCATAAAGCATGGTTACCTGAACTTTTGACTCGAGATCACGGATCTGGTCTTCTTTAACCTTTATATCCATAGTGAGCTTTTTACACTCTGCCTCTAACTCAGTTACTCGCCTTCGCAATGTGTCCGTACACTCTCCCCTGAAAACAAGACAAAGCTGTAAAATACTAAATCTGGAGATGTACAAACCCAGAGAAGTTAAACAAAAGGAAAAAGGGGTCAGAGCAGACACCTGGATGCAGCTGCGAGTGCGACTGCTCTCGCCGCCGTGGCCTCCTCCAGTTTTTTGCGTTTCTTTTCTTCTGCAAGCTGCTTTTCTGCAGTGGCCCGCGCCTCCTGCTCCACTTTCAGTTTCTTCTCCAGTTGGCCTACGGTCTGTTTGTCTTTTTGCTTTGCCTGCACGGCATTATGAAGTCTGAAAGCACCAATTTGAGGATTATATCTAGACTCTGCGCACTGACTGAAGACATTGTGAGTGACTGCCTAATATTATAAAAAAATAAACAGTAAATCAGTGCAAGACTAAAGAAAGTGAGAAAAAGGGGTGAAAAATATTGATATTGGTGTCAAAGTGCCCGAGTGTGTTTCTACATTAATGACTCACTTGTTTTGCAGCAGCTCATTCTCCTGACGCAGTTGGCTCAGCTCTGTGCGGACCGAGCGCTCTGCACTGCCCAGAGAGCCTATCTGGCTGCGGAGGTCCTGCTCCACTTGGCGACTGGCTTGCAAATCTGCCTTTAACTTTTTAACATCCTGCTCTAATCTATAAAGAACACAGCACAAATTGTACAGACAGAAGAGATATTTCCATTGAACAATTGGTAAAAAGGCTAACTTTTTGGTAAAAAGTTAGCTTATCATTATGTCACCAGCTGGATTGCATAAATATAACGATAATAATGTAGGTCAAACTTGTGGATCTACTTTTCCAGGCTGTGTGCACGTGCAGGACGGTGTGGCGCTCGCATTACGCTCACAGCTGCCTTCTGATCCCTTTCCTGAGGTGGAGAAATGTATGTGCTGCCAAAGCCAGTGGCTTTTTGCATAAGAGAAGACTGATTGGATGCACATCATTGACTGCACTGACATATTGTCATGCAAGCCACCTACCCAACCTTTTCCATATTAACCGATCCTAATTTCCAATCCATTTTTTGTCTTCAACAAAACAATATTTTAATTTCCTTGATGTAGATGCTGTGCGGCATGTCAGCAGGCTGCACGTACCTGATAAGTGCTTCTGGTTTACTCAGCTGGTTATTGGGGATACAGTTGTCTGTGGGATCCTTGTGGGAGCCTCCAGCAGCTGCCTTTCCAACAGTCAGCTTGTGCTTCTTCTCGTTCTTTCCAGCAGATGACGACATACAACTGGATACACTGCCATTTGTGGCACTATGACCACGGGGTGAGGAATTGGCCGCATTGCTGCTGGCATTTTTTAAGTTTTTAGAAGAGGAGGAAGAGGAAGAAGAGCATGAGGAGTTGTCCTCTTTAAGCAGCAAGTTTTCAGTGCTACCCAAGTCTGTGGTCAGTCTCTTGTTGTTCATATGGTTCTCCATATATTCAATTTCTTGGAGTTTAGAGTCCACAGATGATGAAAGGATGCTGTTGTGTTGCTTTTTGCTGTCCCCAGCACCCTTTGCTTCTTTCCCTTTTTCTCTATATTCCAACTCTGGCAATGAAGCTGCTATCTTTTTATTTGCAGGGGTGCCATTCTGGGACACTGGGGCTGTATCCACATCAGACAATCCTTTAGCAGGTGCTGTAAGACACAAATGTTAAACTCAAAATGACTTCCAAAAATAGAATTTAAAAACCAAGCGCTTAAATCTTAAATTTACCTTCCTCCGCTTCTCGCTCTTGTCTCTGGTGCAATTGTTGCTCTGGAGGTAAAGCTTGTTGCAATAACTGCATGTAAAATTCATTCTCCTTTTGAACTTCCTTTTGTTTCCGGAGGCGCATCTTGTAACTTACGTAGCTCTTGAAGCCAAAGCCCAGTGTTACTACAGGATAGCCAATACTACAAAAAAAAAGCATTCAAATCGTTTTCAGTGAATCCTTAAAAATTACATAAAGTTGTCAGACAAATAGCCATTAGTCTGACAAATACACTCACAATTGCTCAAATAGAGTTCAGTGTGAGGAAGTACAAGGGTACCTGATGTTTAGAGCCATTTTACACAACATACTGTATTTGTCCTTCAGGTTAAATCGTCTGATACAAAGTGTTTAGTGCTCTAGGCAAGGCAAGGCAAGTTTATTTATATAGCACAATTCATACACAAGGTAATTCAAAGTGCTGAACAAAAAAAGAAAGCATTAAAATCATAAATAATCACAGAACATTAAAAAGAAAGATACAAGTATAAAATCCCTCAGTTGTATGCACAGCTAAACAGAACTGTCTTTAACCTGGTTTTAAACATTGTCAGAGAGGAGGCCTGTCTCACATCTTCAGGAAGACTGTTCCAGATTTTAGCAGCATGAATCTGAAAAGCAGCCTCCCCATGTTTAGTTCTGACTCTGGGCACTAACAGGAGTCCAGTCCCTGTGCTCCTCAGAGTCCGGGCTGGTTCGTATGGTACTAACATGTCACTAATATATTTTGGTGCGAGGCCATAGAGATACTTCCTGGTTCTAGTCAGGACTCGAGCTGCTGCATTTTGAATGTACTGCAGCTGTTTTACAGCCTGTAAAACTATACAATCATATGCAAGATACAAGTTAAATATGCAGAAATCAAATATAAAATGCTATGGTTTGTTACACTAATATATGCTTAAATCACATAATAGTCATGTACATGGGCAGTCATGGTCCTTCTGCTCATTATTCGATCAGAAAGCAATTAGTCTCACATTTTTGGTCTTCAAACAGGATCTTAGACTGAGCTGTAGTGACATCAGAAGCAGCTAGTACCACCAATGACACGACCAACACATGTGTTCATTATAATTGTAATGCCTTTTGCTACGGTCCTTTTAAAACATGGCCGTTCCCTCAATTCACACCGAGAAGTTTTAAACCACCAGAAATGACTCACCAGTGTGCAGCAAAGGGTCGACATAAGTCCACGTGGAAGTTTTTCAAGTCTTTGAATCTTATGGCTGCCTCTATATAAACAAATAGTATCCATAGAGACACTGTTGGCAAACAGACACCTCTCTCTATGGAAGAAAAAAGGATATAGATTATAATGAAGACTATTTCACAGTATACTTGCATGTTGCAGGTATTAATATTTTAGCAAAACAATAGACACAAATAGGCTTTCATGACATATATTCTCCCTTAGGACATATCAGCTGTTAAGTGTCAAATTTCAAATTGATATTGGTGATTGGTAATGGGAAAAAAACCTGTATTTGGATTCTGTTCCTAACCCTAATTTAAAACATAAACCTTCATAGCGCTGTCATTTCATGGTGTAGTAATGTTTCAAATGTGATATCCTGCAAATGGCGCTAGGATTATAATCTGACACCTGGCTTTTGGTCAACACAGGGGGCTAGCCACTAAATCAGCCTGACAACCAATAGTAAGTAAGTAAGTTTTTATTTATATACCGCCTTTTCACTGCAGATCTGAGTCTCAAAGCAGTTTACAATTGTTAATTTTGGGCATTAGTCTCTCTCTCCACACAGAGATGGGAGCGGGGCCAGTACAGGAGGCACATGCTAGAACTATTGGACATATTTTTAGTGGTAGGGGAAACCGGAGTACCCGGAGGAAACCTACGCAGACACGGGGAGAACATGCAAACTCCACTCAGAAAGGCCCTGGTCCGACCGGGATTCGAACCCAGGACCTTCTTGCTGAGAGGCGAGAGTGCTATCCACTCAGCCACCGTGCCAATGCTCACATCAGGGTTAATTTACAGGCGTCATTGCACCCAGAATCACAGTTCTCCTTTACTATTCCCTGCTTTAAAAAGTTAAACAAAATTAAATTATATCATAATACCATATCATCACAGCGCATCCGTGGTACATGGCAATATTAAATGTCAATCCACGTAATTGAAGCTCTATGTGCATGTGAGTTACACATTGTGAAGCAACAGACTTACCTGTGTGCCACACATACTGGACCCAGACATATGTACTGGCAGCAAAGAACAGCCATTGCACTGGGATGAAGAGGAGGCAAATTATGTCCGAGGTAAATGCCACACAAACAAAGAATACTGAAAAGGCCTGTTTGAACAGAAAAAAATTATATTCATTTATCTATATTCTGTGATTTATACATTAACATTTTAGGAGGGTTCAAAATGAAGGATAGTTATTGAAACTGTTTGGACCCACTTACCAGGCCTTGGTATCTGAAGGAGTCATATACACTTCGGATGAAGAGCCAGAAAGGCCAGAGATACTCAAATCTAAACTCCAATACAAAGTCGGCCAGTAGTACGAGTGCCCAGACGACCAAAAACTTCAAGTACAGGAACGTACTAAAAAAAAGAGACAGAAGGGTTTTTCAAAAATTATATTCTTCAACAACAACGACTAAAGTGAGTGCTACATTTGCTGTATGCTCATCTCACAGCTTGGTACTAATTTAACGTAACTATAACCTACAGTCATGCACACACATATGGTACCATTCCCTTTTACACTTAAAGGGGAACTTTTTGTTTATGTGTTCATCAGTCAGAAATCAATCTCTTCTTTAGAATGTGACATGTTTGACTGATGTAAACAGACATCATGGTCAGTGACATTTTCTTATTAGCAACACTGGAACTAACTGCATGGGGGCTTTGGAGCTCTGGCATCCAAAGCAAATCGCTTAGTGATGAAGGCACCTGCTCAATAATTCAGAGGCCTCTTTCTTTACATCTCAATGCCACACATGTGTTAAAGTGGTCTTTCACATTTAGTGTGCCAGCCAAGTAACAGTGAATGTCTGAACAACAACACGAGAGGTATAATAAACTCTTAATAATGTGTTTAGCCACAGCAGTAATAGTTCTCGAGTTGTATCAGAGTTTGAAGTGTGAGATCTGTATGTACAGTTAGCTTCACCTGATGCTAGTCAGGAGCTAAAGCTAACGTCAGAGCATAACATTTGACACGTTGCTCGACACCTCATTAAACAATGTGGTTGTGGAAAGTGTGAATGATAGTAATAGTGCAAGTGTTATATGGACACGGCTGTTTTGCGTTAAGGTAGCTTTGAAAACGGTGGCTCACAGTTAACCTAGCCTCAAAGCTAACGCCACCTTTGCTAACACAAACATCAGAGGTTAGCACAGATCCATGGGTTAGCACGCACAGCTGTGAACTAAAGCTAATTCTCCTGATTTCTGTCTCCGCGTCCTCAGGTTTGGAGTCTGACCCATCCCTTTCCTAGTGGTATTACCTGCCGTAGATGCCCTCGGTGATTCGGTTCCGTTTTATCGGCCGCCGGAGTTTGCTGCAGTCCGCATTGCGCCGCTTCATCCTCCTCCTCTTGGCTTTGGCCTTCGAGCACCCACTGTAATCTGATCCAGTTTTCTTGTGGGTACGGGCAGGGGTTACAAATGAAGTTCTATGTTATGCCGTTGTTATTATCTCTTAACTGAAAACAAAGAAATAAATAAAGCGTCTTTTCGGGAACCTCCTCCTTCACAGTCAGCGCAGGCTCAATAGATCCGACAGCGCTGGGTATCACGGAGGTTCGGGTGTCAGGCAGCTGCTATAACCAATCAATAGATTCGTCGAGATCTTTTCTGTTGATTGATTTCCAGAAGAACCATTTACATGACTTTGTGACGAGTCGCTCAGCTTCATCCAGCTCGGTGAAGGGCCGCCCTGAGCATAGTCCCACGCCTGAACCAATGAGAGTGTTTGTGGACAAATCGGGCACCACGAGCGGACCAATGAGATGAGGAGAGAGGAGGGACCGTGTTTTTTTGTTTTTTTTTACTTTTAAAAATAATTTATGCTGTCATTTTGTTCTTACACATTACACATTTGTAAACAGTGTGATGAAATAATAATGACTAATTATAAGCTGCGTGGCAACCCGGCAACGGATGAAGCGGAAGAAAATGGATGGATGTGGATATCGAAATCAGTTTAGCCGAATAGTGTCAAATAATATTGTAATATATTATATCTGTTCTACAATATCTATTATAGAACATTCTACGAGTAAACACTTTCCCCGTTACAATAATAATGACAGACAAAAAACTTTACATTTGGTAGAAAACGACAATTAGCCTGTGATATTTCGATGGGGGCCTAATATCTGTCTAGTGCAGGCCAGTCATAAAGCCAGAGGACCTCAAGGCTCCTGTCTCATTCGGGTTTGAGCGCACTGCTGCATCATGGCTCCACATTACGCACCAAGTCTACGCTCTCGTCTGGCGCCAATTTTACTTTTATTTCAAATTTTGTTTTTCATTATATTTGCATTTTACTTCGAGTTAGACCCTCACTTTAAAGAACGTGGTGGAACCTCTCTTTTCTCCCTTTATTCAGGTGAGTAAAGCTTTGTGTTTGGAAACACAATTCCTCCTGTTTTAGCAAAAAGGATTCATCAATTATTTTAACACATTGTATACTATACTATACTATACTATACTATATTTTTAATCATCATTTTATTCTAAACCGCTTGGGCGGAGTATAACTGCCATTCGCTTCTCAACACTTCAACTGTTGAGTAAAGATAAGGTCAGTCAGTAGCTTGAAGCTACATGAAAGCATTTATCAACATTTTAAAAGAAAAAAACCTATCAACGAGTTTAATTTTACATATTTTTTTGGTTTTGTTTCCACATTTAATTGATTCTATTATAATGAAAATATTATAAGGATGTACCTTACATTTTGATGACAACTATTCAAATAGTCATCTATCTAAAAGTGGTTTCTTGCAGAGTTTCAGGATGTGAATGTAATCGTCATTCTGGGTTTTGGCTTCTTGAGTACATTTCTTGTGAGATATGGATTCAGCAGCTCAGGGTTCAACCTCCTGGTGGCAGTAATGGCGGTACAATGGGCTCTCATATTGAATGGCCTTGATTCTTGGTATTACAGAGGAAAGATCCAGATCAATTTAAGAAGGTTAGCCTCCTCTAAGCATTAGTTACAATCATATACACTAATTATACAATGGAAAATCATTACAACAGTTTGCATGTCAATAACTTCTTTTTCAGCCTCGTTTACGCAGAGATGTGCACTGTGCCAGCTCTCATCTCAATTGGAACAGTTCTGGGAAAGACAAACCCTGTTCACCTGGTTTTAATTGCATTGTTCGAAGTCTCAGGATTCGTTCTCAATGAGTGGCTGCTCCATAATTTTGTGAAGGTAAATAAGAACATGTCCACTGTTAGTACAAATAAAAACAGACAATAAGATTTTGACTCCTATTTAAGTACCAATAAAAATATTCATTAACAAACTTTTTCTGACCCCAGACCCAACCCTCAAACAGCATCATGCTGTTACACATACACGGGGCCTTTTTTGGGCTCATGCTGACCTGGTTTTTGTATAGAAAAGGATCAGAAAAGCCGTTTGAGAAGGAGAAACTATCTCGCAACTCAGGACTATTTTCCATGCTTGGTTTGAAATTTTACTTGACATTGCATGTGGAGATACTGGAGCGCAATGGTTGACACATTTTTAACTACATCTGAAAAACGTCTTTTATATTTGATCTTCAGTGCCACCATATATAAACCAGGTTTTTCTGGGTCCAATTTAAGGTTAAACCAGTTCTTAGACACAAAAGCAGTACAGAAATATGCAATTATATGAAGGGTAAATTCACAGTTTATTTGACATTCACAATCACTTTAAAACAATCATAAGAATTGGAATAAAACATGTATAATGTGTCATTTTTAGAGTTCCAAAGAAAACACAAGCTCATTGTTCGAAATCATTCAAGCACACAAAGCTGCATGGATATATCCAGGCTAAAATTTATTTTGTTCTGTTGGTCATGGTCATACTGAGTAGGATCATATGGATTTGTATAGTGTAAAAGCTTATTTAGAAAAAAAGGTAAAACACACATGCATATTGTCATGGACAGAGAGAGGTATCCTGATCTTGAATTGTGCATTCCCGTTAAAGGGAAGGTATGAGTTTAGTTTGTCAATAGGCCCCTGAAAGTCCATATGGTGGTGATCTATTGTTGATCAGGATGGCCTACGTCGGGTAACTGGAGCACTCTGAAGAGAATCTGCTTTATTGCTCGAAACCTATGATCCAATACACACAGCAAAAATAACACAAGAGTGGCATCGGACGTTACTGTGAGACTTGGAAAGCCAATTATGTTTGATAACCACTGCACTGCTGTATCTCCAGTCAGCACTCAGGTGAACATTCTGAATATTCAGCACAGATTGTTGTACATGTGTTTGCTTTGTTCTTAGGAACATTGTTCTTGTGGATGTTTTGGCCCAGCTTTAATTCCGTCCTAGTTGACAATTATCCACAGGGGAGAAAGCTTGGGGCAGTGTGCAGTACCTACCTGTCCTTGGCTGTCAGTGCTACTACGGCTGCTTCTGTGTCTGTGGCAACAAGCCCTAAGGGGAAACTCAATCTAGTACGACAAAGTTGTAAATTGTAATGATCAACGTTTTTTATGTACTGTATCCATATCCAATATACAATCCTCCTCTTTAAGGTCCAGATCCAGTCAAGTATACTCGCTGGTGGTGTTGCTGTCGGAGTGGCTATGCCAGTAGTGCACCAACCGTGGGAAGCCATGACTATAGGATTTCTTGCTGTGGTTTTATCAACAATTGGGTACAGATATCTGAAGGTATTGTACTGAACCTAAACAACTCTGATGGGAATGGGATGCATTCCCACACTCACATGTCTGTGTTCTAGAGCCACATGGTTCTTGTATTCCAGTGCCATGACACCTGCTCTGTCCTGAGCACACATGCGCTTCCTGGTCTCCTGGGGTGGCTGGCACAGTTCCTGCTGTTAAAGGACTTTGATGATCACAACACGTAAATATGATCAATGTGGCACGTGACATGCTCACATAAACAAAAGGACAACAATTGAGAAGCTTACCATTTTCATTTTTATTCAGGGCAATTCGCTTTGCAGTATTTCACATAACCAGTCTTTTCATCACCTTGAGTATTAGCCTATCCACAGGAATAATAACAGGTAATAAATAACTCATGAATATGGATAATTTTTATGGAATGACTATTGGTTAAGTCTGTTCAGGATTCTATTAATAAACAGCCTGCATCAGACAAGACTTGATATTGTGTATATCCCTTACATCCGATGTTTTATTTAAAGGGGTTCTACTGAAATGGAAGTTCTGGAGACCACCCCAGGACCAAAAATGTTTTGATGATCAGGCATATTGGGAGGTACGTTTTTATACACATGTTGTTTCTGTGGTTGCTTTTCTGTGGTTTTAACATATTTTTCATCCATTCTTTTGCAGTTCCCCCACCTCGTAGTGGTAAAATAAAATTAACTCATGAAATATTAATAATAAACTCCAACCTTGTGATGCAAACAGATGTTTAGAACTGTTTTTCAACTGCTCATGTTTATCATTGTATTTTGCGCCTTTGTTAATGTTATAGATAATACAACCATAACCGATGTTAAACAATAATATTTAACATTTAAACTTTACATATTTCATAAATTATTTCTCCAAATGAGGGTTTGAGCATGCAGGTCCTTAATGCATTCGTTATAAATGCAGAGGATGTCAGTCTGTTGAAGCAACTATATCAGAACATACAGCATACTTAAGATAACACATAATAATAATAAACAATGAGACATTAGTGAATACATAAGAGTGAGAGCTTAAGCATATAGTCTCAATCAACTCAGCAAGTTTGGAATATGTACGTTATTGCCACAGGTCTTCTGTGCGTCCAAATTTGAAGACCAATCCTCTACAAAATAATGACAAAACATTTGAGTCATCAGGAAAATGGGATACATTTGTACTTAATATGTGCTAGGAGAGATAATCAACTTCTTACCCAAAGAAAATGAACGCATTTTGGAAGAAAATAGCAATGCCAGGGTAGACATCTTGCTTCTCTGCAAAAGAGAGAATATGTAACATTACATAGCTACAATATGGTATTAAACAGTCTCATGCTAATTCAATTGGGATTAGAAAAGACTCTCAAAGAGTAAGGCCAGCCATGTTAATCACAGAAGTTAGATAGTGCTACAATGACAGTTCATACTGACACAGTACATCAATTTGATTTTGTTATTTATTATGTTATTTTATATTTATTAAAACTAATCTTGATGTTCTATCCGCAACATGTTATGATTATAACATGAAAGCAGCCAGGCAAAATTAAACGTACAAATATTATTACAAAAATGAAGTGGGACTCACTGGGCACTACAAATCCTCCAAACAGAATCCACATAGAGGCAATGAGAGAACCAAACGCCAACATGAATCCTATGAAGAGCCACACGCGAGCGCCTGTAGAGAAGAGGAGTCAGAGCAGGTGTGCAAGGGGACAGGGCACAGGAAGTACTGTTCCAATCAAAAGTTTAATCATCGTTTGGATCTTTACATGGTTCTAAGTAGAGCTACAATATACAAAAGAAAAATATTTTAAAAGTCCATGTCTGTAAAATGTCAAATCTTTGCAAAAATTAATATCTTAACGCAAAAAAGTAAACCTTTTGAACGTGGTCAGGTTGTTCTGAGTCCTCAAAAAGACACCAGCACTGAGCCAGATCCAAAGGGCCAAATGTTGTTATTGGTGCTGACTGCAGCCTGAACACATCTGTGACTGGAAGGCTTCAAAGTTTTGAACATGTCCTTGAATGCCAGAGATGTGAGAGCACCAAACATGGGGTATTTAAGAGAAAAATAACCTTTTTGGTTTGAATGGATTCCAATGTAACCGTTTTCTACACACCACAGTGAAGGGGGCAGCATAATGACTGGGTTGCTTTTTCTTCAGTGGAACAATGGAGCTTCAAGAGGTACTGGGGTAGCCTGACCATTGCCATCCGTAAACTCCAGTCAATTATCATTTTCTCAATAGATACATCTGGGTCTGATCCTTGTGTCTGCAGTTTCCTCGGTTGAATCCCCTCCAACCATTCAGCAAGAGGGGGAGGCGGGTGTTGTAGGTAGGTGTCGGTAACGTCAACAGTTTATGCCGAATTTGCTGGTTGTAGTTTGGCAGTGACGGAAAATGCGATAGTAATTTGTCTGGTGGGGTAAGACCAGAATAGCACTGGGGTGTCACGGCTGCTGGTTCTGTCCAGATGTTGTCGAGAACATCATAAATGAGAACTTTGCCTCTGTGGTAAGAGTTTCCACAAGACCACATGCTACAGTTCACAAAGCACGCAGAATAAAGTACTTCTTCCAGGAGAATATCGTCACTATTTTTGAGAGTTCCCCTGACCTAACTCAAACTGAGAACCATAGGGGATTGACAGCAAGGGAAGTTTACAGTTCTAGAAAGCAGATGCCGCAACACTTTTCCCTTTACTTACACCACTAAGTAGGTAAACTTTATTTTATTTATACAGTGCCTTTCAAAGACCAGAGTCACAAAGAACTTTACAATTGTTGTGGACATTTGTCTCTCACTCCACACAGAGATAGAAGCGGGGTCACCTCCAAATGTGTGTGCAAGAGGAACCTACGCAGACATAGGGAGAACATCCAAATTCCAAATAGGAAAAATGTCTGGAGGTGGAATTGAGCCCAGGAACTTCATGCAGGGAGGCACACGCACTAACCACTACGTCAACGTGCTGCCACTTCACATCATACCACTCAACTTCGGAAAACGCCATCAAAAATGTTCAGTCATTTTAAGTGATCAACAATTGAGCAACTAGTTAATGAGTTCATGTTTGGAACTTTGATTTGTGTTTTGAGGGGGTGTGTTCATAAAACCTTTGATCAGCAGCAACACAGGCCTTATCAGTTCATATTTTCCTCCCTTTATTATTCCATTTCTGGTGGGGGGGGAGCAATCAGAGCTACCACCCAAGTTTCAAAGCACCAGTCCTCAGGTGGTGGGTTCACAGGATTATGGCTTCTCTGGCTTCAGACAATGTGGGGGTAAGTGTCTTGCCCAGGGACAAAACGACACCAGTGGGAGCAGAAGACATGGGACGTGGGGGGATTGAACCCATGACCAGTTTAAATTTTGTTTCAATAAATTCCTTGCTTCATTTTTTCTTGTTGCATATTGCAGTTGTATGGATCCAACCACGCAAAACATGATTTGTTTTGCCATTTTTCAAGAGGGCGAAGTCTACCAACCTGTCTGTCCGATGCACCCATCACTGTAGCTGTCGCCTCTCACTTGGCCATTTGAAACGGCATTGATCCTGCAAACAATCCATCAAGGAGGATTTATTATTCTTTCTTTTCAAGAGGTTATGAAAGCAGCATAAACATATTTCAAAAGGGATGAAAAAGAGAGACAGAATGCAATTGTGAAACCTGCACCCACATGAGAAAAGCCAGTGTCGCTATGACTCCACAAGTGTGATAAGCATGATGCATCTCTCCCTCACTCGGATACTTAACAGCTGCATCAATAATGATCCACCAACCTGTAAAAAACTGCAAACAAAAGGAAGAGAGGAATGTGGTGTTATGACTTTTTCGCTCATGTGATTTGGCTTATTCTTAAGACATGGCAAGTCAAAAAAAAAAAAATTACCAAGACCCCAGCAGCTACTGATGCAATGGCGTTTCGTCTTTCCCCCCAGTCCACATTGCATTCACAATCCCCGCAGCGGATCCCATCCAAGAATCCGGACATTCTCCTTCTGAAGAAAGAAACTAAGAAATGAACAAATGCGACTGTCATTACTTCTGTTCACTCGAAATAAACAATTGATGATGACCCTCACCAAACTTTAATAATGTACGGCAAAAATACACATTACAGCGTCAGTGTGAATGATAATATAGATGATATGGCGCACACGATAATGGTCAAAAACAGTCTTTAATGTCGCTTTGTTCTTTTGGATTCGCACTACTAGCAAACATTTCCGCACGCTTCCTTCTTGTCATGACGTTAAAGTATTCCAAACTAAATGACAGTCGAATTAACGGGTATACACTTGGGATTTTTCACATCATACATACTTTAGATAGAGTTGTTAACTGAAGAATACATACCTTTAATTATTAGTTTTCTTTTATCTGCTCCCCCTCCGATTCTTCTTCCGAAATGAGCTCCGTTCTGCACATGCGCAGTAGGCCCACACCCTGCCTGACTTGTTGATACTGTCTATGGTTGATACTGGGCCGTACACTCACGCCCTACCCCTTGTTCACTTTGTAGTGCACTACATGGTGAATACTGAGGACCTTCGGACAAACCATCAATCTTTCTTGTTTCCAGTCAAATCAAACATTCTTGGACTTGTTCTCGTTGTAGAGTGAATGTACTCGATGCATTGTCTTTTCTCCTCTAATTGTCTCAAAGTGAAGTTTGTTGATTTCGGCAGAGGGGTGAAGTGAATGTATGTTGTCTGTTTGAAAACATTAGAAAAGAAAGCTTTTTTTCCTTAATTTTGTTTTATTAAACATTGTGTTGAGGAATATCAATACACTTTTATTATAAAATATGTGTTATTAGATGCAGATGTATAAGCTTTGTATACAGTAAATAGATGAAATACCTTTGTGTGTTATACAGTCAATGGTTAAATCACATGATCAAATCTCAAGACTAAGGCAAACAAGTCTTTTTTTCCCACATTCATCTGTGTCAAATACATTTTCATTGGTCACTATTAGCGTTACAAAATAACTTTAGCTACTTATTGCTATCAAATGACACATGATCAAAATCATGATAAGGTATATATAATGACAAGTTCTATTAATCGTAAGTACACAGATAAACCATTGACCATAACAAGCAATTCAACATGATGAGAAAGTTCTTTGGATTAAGAACAAAACGTCAGGAAATCCTGCTAACTGAAGTAGAGATGATGGGTGAGCAACCTCTCTTTGTTTTTTAAGCAATTCAACTGCCTACAAAACTCCAAGCAACTGCAAACCAATATATATTGAAAGAATGATGACTCCAAGGTAACCAATATATCCATAGGCTCCATTCATTCTCTTTGCTGGATCTGAAATATAGGGTATATATATCAATGACAAACACAAGACTCCATTTCCCATGATCAATGAGGCTATAGTTTGTGTAATGCCTTACCTCCAGTATAGTAGCCCCATGCATAGGAAAATCTACTGGTAACCCAAATGGCTCCAAGAATTGAGCCAGCGACCTGGAATGACAGATAAAGTAAGACAATGGTCAGAGTGACTCAGCATTTACCTGGTCTCTTCCATCATTTAACTAACATAAACTACTGTTTAAATATACAATCACAGGGTTAAATGCATCACAAAGTCAATAGATTTGTATAACGAGCTCTGTTGTGAATATGATGAAAAACTCTGTTATTTGACATACAGGGTAGACAAGCGCTGCAATGGTCTGGAAGACGAGCCATTGGGGATACACCTCCAGTGTGTTTTGATGAGCCCTTTGAATACAGTTGAACACCATATCCTTGTCACTGTACATCGTGGGATACTGCAAAGAGAAAACAATTAGGATGGGTGTGTACAACTATCCCAATGCACCCCTTTGAACAATCAAATATTCACCTTTACGTCGTACTTCTTTCGGGCAGCTCCCACCTTTATTCCTAAATAGGTCAGCATTATCCAGCTATAAAGGTAAGTCAAAATGACGTACCCAAAGCTGGATGGCAAAACAGTCAGCAAATCCATTTTGCTCAAGTCAAGAGTGCAGCACTGAGGATCTTTTTGTGCAACTTTGAGCTTTGAGCCCGTCACTGTTATCAAACAGGAAAGAAAGGAAACGAGACCATAGGTTACGGATCAAAACATCGCGAGAGGAGATCACTTTCTGTAATAAATTATGGCTGAAGATGTCTGTTAAAAATATGTAATCTGGGCCATTACCTAAATAAGTGCTGTTAACACTGTTGCTATTATTTTTCATATGCTTTTGCCTAAATACAAGACTGTATTCTAAATACAAATAATCCTAAACCTAAGCGTCACGTGACTGGAATGTTCTAGGCCGTATATAAAGCCCCTCCCCCTCCTCGTGCTGTTACAGAAGAAGCAGCATTCCGCTCGGACAACACGACCTCCTCGTTCCTCTTAAAATACAACAGATTTATCTACATAATCTTATATGATCAAATCGGTTTCTCATCGAACGCTCTTCTATCAAAAAACAGTCATTATCATCGTTGAAACATCGGCTATTACTGACCCAATAACGAGGTAAGAAAATGGCCATTAACTACTAACGCTAGAATTTTTTAGAATAGCAAATCATAACAATAAATTAACGTTATCTAAAAAAAAAAAAGTATCCTGTCCTAACAAAATGTGCTGATTTGTTGGTGATAATTGAATGTCGTGGGGGTTGTATACTGAGTCTTATCAACGTTAGCTCCAAACAACAGTCTGGAAATTTCCATGATGACGATTATGCAACTGCAGTCTATGGTTTTACCGCTAGAGGCAGCACTGGTTCAGTGATTCCATCTGTTAGCACCAACCCCTGCCGCCTTTTTGTTCATTAATGTACTTGTCTTTTGTTTTCTCGCTTATTCGTTATTTCAATTATAACCATTGTAAAGATCAGTGAATTAAAAAGGATTAATAAACATGTATTTTTTTTTTTTTTTTTTTTTGCTTCTAGTGAAGAAAGAACATGGCTCAGGCAGTCCACCCACATTCCGACATGGTCAAGGCTCGACATTGTGATGGTGTCAATGTAATCTTTGATCAAATGAGTCCTGCATCTTCCAGATCAAAGTCTCGCTCTCGTTCTGCCTCAAGTAGTAGCAGTGGCTGCAGCAGTGCTTCTCGAGGACGTAGTGCCAAAAGAGACTACTGCAGGTCTTCCTCCAGCAGCAGGTCAAAATCTCGCAGCAGCCGATCCCGCTCTCATCCTCGGTGCCACAGACCCTCCTCCCGGTGCCGCTGTAGGGACCACCGCAGACGCAGGGCGAGATGCATCTCTCCCTCCCCCAAAAGGCACTACAGAACACATTCTCGATCCTTCAGCCGATCGCCCTCTGTGGACCGCCGAAGGCACTACCACTCACGGTCCAGGTCCCGCTACAGTCACAGCCGAGTGAGCAGATGCAGATCCCCATTTTCACGATCCCCTTTGAGATCTTTCAGAGCCCGCTCAAGATCCAGGAGTTCAGAACGCTCACTTGCTCTGAGTTCAGAAGGTATAGTGTTCAATATTACAGATAATTTATTTGTGTATATATATCTATTTTTATTGATGTAGAGCTTTTTTTATCCCCCATAACAGCAAAACAACAACTTCTGGAAGTTGCAAGACAAAATGCAATGAAGATTCTTGGAGTGCAGAGACTAGAACTTCCTGAAAGCGTGAAGCCGACCCTGATGTCCCAGTTCCATGATTCGACAGGAGCAGAAAGGAGGGTTAGACGAGATTCAGAAAATTCAACCTCACAAGTGAGTCTCAATAGAAAAGCCGTAATGAATGGGATAGCTCAACTTAAAAGGAACTGCTCAGTAGTTTGACGCATTATGTAGAGCTATATTGGATTAGATTGATCTTGAAGTAGAGTCTGTAGTGTGTTGTACATGAAGTGATGTTTGTGTGTATTTTGTCTTTGGACATTGAGGGAATGCACATACTCTATTTATTCCTGTCTTCATAGATGACTTGAAAGTGTTCTCCACTCTTCGGCACCTGGGATTAAAAGGCTGTCTTTGACTTGGGACGACCTATATTTTTGCATAAAAGGTTGCCTCTTAATCTTCACTGTGTATTTTGAAATGAAAAAAGAGATACCCTAAACTTTGTATACATACCTAGTTTAGAGCATAGGTCCAAGTGTTTTGACAAATGTATTATTGATGATTATTGTCAGCAGAATCCTCCAATTGCTGGTGGAGCAAAGTCGTGGGGACAACATAGTAGTGAATATTCCTGTCAAGAGTCCTAAAAGGACATGAAGATCTCCTGTGTTTATGCCAAAGATAAGTTTGTTCACAAACGTGTGGCGACTGGTGAGGGTCCGGACAAACTCTGGCTGTTTATCCATCACTCGGTGTTAAATCTAAGTGCTCCAAATATTGGAGAATTGACTGAACTGCCACATGACCGCAGTGTTTCATTCTGCATTATAATCTCTAATTTGTCATGTTTTTTTCTTTTTTCTGAAACAGATTTCTGAAGAGCAACATGATTCACTCCCAACGCTGTCTCCAAAGAGGGGAATGATCTCATTCAGTGTAAATGCAAGTACAGCTTTCTTCTTTTTTACTTCTAAACTCATTAATTTGCTTGCTAATGAGTTTCTTTTTTTACAGAATTCGATAGCGAAGCCTACAATACGCATGCAGTCTAGTGTAAAGGTAACTTCCCTTGTGGACAGTGTTGAAAGCAAGAAGCCGTATGGTCACTGGATTCCAGTAAGATCTGTACGTCACTGATGTGCATGTGCAGCCTGTCATCTGCCCTGTGGCGGTCTACACGGACATTGTAAATAGTTTTGTACATAATGTGTTCATTTCATGGACATTTTCTTTCAGATATATTGTTTAAAAAGAATGAGAAAAGAAGTGAATACATTCAGGTGGGAGACTTTTTCCTTATTCATGTAAAGAATGTAAATAAATTTTAGAAAATTCACTTGTGTTCTGTATGTTTCTACAAATTATTTGTTTTGTTACTGAGCCATGTAATTAAAGCAGTCTGTAAATTGGCAGTTTTGAACATAAATTATGTAGAATACACGTTATAACAATTAAATTCACATCGCCATTTGTCTGGTATAAAAGAACCAGATGACTTAAGACAAGATAAACCCTCAAACAATAGAAGCAGTAGAATGAGTCCTAGTTGGAGCCCTGTCACAAATGTTTACCATTGATTATAGATATCCTATTTTAAGTTATGATGACAGTTATCAACAACTAAACTTATTGGACAAGTATTGCATTTTCTTTCCAACCTCTGAAAGACATACTGGGCAAAAATGTAAAAATTCGGCACCCATATTTTTCTCCAAATCCGGTCAAAATTGATTGTACAAACCTGCAGTGATGTTCTAAATCCACACGATGGCGCCGTTATTCCACACTTGATAAGATATTCCTTTATTCGTCCCAGTCTGTTAAGTCAGTGTCATCGTTGCGCAGAGAAAGAAGGAAATAAAAGCACTCGAATTGCACACAAACAGGATCTATTAGAGATTAATATATAAAATAAACTCAAACTATAATTGCACTTGGTTCAGAAGTATTTGTGTATATTGTACTTCATCAGTGGAAAATGAGCAGAATAAATGGTAAGACCAGCAGGTAAAATGACAAGTGAATGACTATCTGATGGATATGTAGAAACAGTTACTAGTGAATTCAGTGAACAGCAGTTCTCGTTATACAGTCTGACAGCAGTAGGGAGGAAGGACCTTTGAAACCTCTTTCACACAGCAAGGGTAAATAAGTCTGTCACTGAAGCGGCTCTCCAGAGCAGAGTGTCCTGCAGGGGGTATCAAGGTCCAGGCCCTCCTGTCCCTCACCTGCTGCACTGTGTCAAGGGAACAGCCCAGGACTGAGCTGGACTTCCTGATGACCTTGTCAAACTTCTTCCTGTCCCTCGCTGTGATGCTGCTGCTCCAGCAGACCACACCGTACAAGATGGCTGATGCCACCACAGTCATAGAAGTTCTTCAAGAGTGACCCCTGCACTCCAAAAGACCTGAGCCTCCTCAGCAGGTAGTCAGTACTTGAAAGAGACCACTCTCAATTTCCCTTCCCTGGATTTTCACTGGGGCTGGAACAGCAGAGTGACGTCCGTGTTGTGTCTGAAGTCTACAGTGTAGAGGGTGAAGAGGAACGGCGCAAGGACAATCCCTTGTAGGCCCCCCACACTGCAGGATAGGACCTCAGACCCACAGTCCCTGGTTCTCACAAACTGGGGTATGTCTGTGAGGTAGTCCAGGATCCACTCAGACAGGTTGTAGTCCACCCCAGCCGTCTCCAGCTTTAGTGTTTCTCTGGACTCAGTATTTTCACTTTGCCTGAAGCCCTTGCTGAAAGATCAAGACTATGCTGTTTCAGACAGAGCAGTCGTCCTCCTGCGGACTCACCACTTGCAGAAGGATCAATGAGGTACTGGTGTATGTGAATTGGGTGCAGCCCTGACTACACCCCCCCCCCCCCCCCCCCCCCCCCTCCCCTCCAACCCAGAAATGGATAAAGAGGAAAAAGATGGATGGATGGTTTAGAGGAAATGTACTTGAATTTAATAAAAAGATTACACAGCATCTCTGAATGAACAGGTGGTTTATTTGAAAAAGATTAAAATTGCTTCCTGGAGGAGACTTTTCAACAAATAAGCATAACTAATGTAGGAACTAAACAGCTGTGCCTCTCTCCAGATTCTGTTTAATTTCTGCTGTATATTTTCCATAAAAGCGCTCAGCCTTCTTGTTGAACTTGGCATTCCTCTCGTTAATGTAGTCAATGTCGGCATCATCGTTATGGGCCCTGCGTCGACTGTATTTGGATCTTTTCTCAATTCTGCAACAAATAAAAGTATTGTGAGTTTGGTGAGCATGCGCAGTCTACAACAACACAGCCCTGGATATTAAGTGGACTTCGTCAGTTACATACAATCTTTCAGTCTCTCTGTTTGGACGTGCAAGAACTTGGCTATAGCTGGGGTTTAGTTATATATTGAAATCAAAATTAAGGTTAACTGGATATCACCACATTATCTATTTTCACACATAAAATAAACATAATTAAAATTTGAAAGACATTGTTAATAGAATATGGCAACCAATTGAACTTTCGTTCAATTGGTTGCCATATTCTATTAACAATGTCACAAGATGGCCAAATCCACTTGGCTCTTTTCAGACTCTGTATTCATTGTTAGTGTTGTGACAAATGCACCAAAAATATAAATTCTGCAAATTTGGGTTTTCACACTTACTGTTTTTCAACATCCTCCACCATGCGATCAATGCCCTCTTTCGTAGGGACATGAGTGCCGTGGATCAAGCTGTCGGATGTGGGGTGAAAATCCTCACCGCTGCAGAATATACACAAAAATGAGCTCCATAGCCATAGCAAATCATAATATTACACAACTCATATGTGTTCCTATATTCTACAATGGAAACTAAGAAGGATGAGTATGCCCTTGGGCCAAACGCGAGGGGCACATCTTCCACGGTACTGCATGTCTTTTACAAGCATTTGAAACATAATGTGTTCTTTGACTTCAAAGTAATATACATTAAAATCTGTAAATTAGATCAGTGGGGCGCAACTGTGTCAACATAACCCCCACGGCCAATGGGGCACACGAGTTAACATACATAAAAAATCTTTGTGCTCATGTGATTATTAAACGTTATGAGGGATTTCACAGTTACAGACACCCAGTCCTCATGTATCATTAAAAAGCATCTGGTGACTCCACAAACTTACCATTCCTCCCTTTGCCTCTCATAGTTATTCATGTCTGGTCTGATCTGCTTGGTAAGCCTCTGATACTGTCGGAACTGTGCCTCAGCATACCCTACACACATAAGAAAAGCAGATTAAAAGCGTATATATAGGACAAAATCTTTCCTTTTATGAAAAAGGTACGTTACAATGTAATGTTTGGAAATGTTAGTTTTTGAAAGGACACAGGACATGAACACACAAAGCGCTTTGGGTGACCTTGGTCTGTAAAAAACACATGCACTATAACTAAACATCACTCACTTATTTACATCAGACTATATTAAAAAGATACAGGGGATTAAACTAGGGGGACAAAAGTTTAATAAAACAAGTAAAATAAACAAATATAGGATTTGAGAACCACCAGAAAGATTACAGGTCCCACAGTTTGAGGAAGACTAAAGGACAATCTATAATAAATAATAAATATATCCTTGTATCCATGGTTTTATTCGTTTTTTTTCTATTGTTTTTATGGATTTTTGGTATAGGATATATATGGTTCTCCTCAGGGATGTATTTTGAGTCCTTTACTTTTTACTGTGTACACTCACGATTGTGTGTCCTCCTCTGACTCGAACTTAATCATCAAATATGCTGATGACACCACCATCATCGGTTTCATCAGTGACAATGATGAATCCTCTTATAGAGCAGAGATACAAAATGTGGTTCAGTGGAGTCAAACTAACAACCTCCAGTTGAACGCATCCAAAACATGTGAACTGGTCTACGACTTCAGTCGCAATAGTTCTCATTTGCCTGTCGTAATCGACAACTCCCAGGTGCAGATCGTAGAGGAGTGCAAGTTTCTGGGTTTAACTCTGTCTAACGACCTGAAATGGGTTAAAAACACTGACCGGGTCGTAAAGAAAGCTCGTCAGCGTCTCTACTTCCTGCGTAAACTTAGAGAATTTACCACTAACTTTAAGATTCTGCTCAACTTTTAATCGCTGCACCATTGAGAGTTTACTTGTTGGTTCTGTGTCTGTGTGGTTTGGAAACATCACAGATAAAGAAAAGAGAGCTTTAAACAAGGTGCTCCGCTCTGCAAAGAGGACCGTGGGCTGTGAGCTTCCTGTTCTGGAGGTTCTTTATAAATCCAGACTTTTAAACAAAGCTCTTAGGATTGTCAATGACTCTTCTGGCCACCCTGGAAAAGCCATGTTCCAGCTTCTTTCCTCTGGCAGAAGATATCGTTCTCTGAGATGCAGGACATCTCGTTACGCTAACAGCTTTTATCCACAGGCTGTTATCAGTGTGAACAGAGCACTTTAATGATTTGCACTTGTTTTGAAACTGTTTTAGTCGATCAATTTCACAGTGACACTTGTTTACTGTTTTATTTCCGTACTTTTAATGTTGTTTTATGTCTGTATTTGTCTGTGCACACTGGTGACTTTTTGCTAATGTATTCCAATGTGGTTAGTTTTTTTACTGTAAATGCCAAATAAAAGGAATCTGAATCTGAAATTTTATTGTGATATTCAAATTTTTCAATCATATTTGTTTCACTTATTCTATTGTTGGTACATTTAATGCTGGCTGTATATTTAAATATGTTACTTTATCTCTGTGCTATATACATAAAGTGGATTTGATCAGATGTCCAAGATAGATTAAGACCTGCAAATCCTGTGTCTGGATTTTTCTTCTTTTTCTTCCTCTCCCAGCGCTCTGCATCATCAGCCGTGACATCCAGGAGTTTGACCCTGTCATAATCTTCTCCATTGGTAGCACATTCCTGTGTGAAAATGTAATTTGACGTTATCAATTTAGAACTCTGCTTAGTGAATAACTAATTATAAAGATCATTTTATCACCTTTTTCTTTTGGCTTTCAGAAAGCTCCCACTCCAGTCTGGCTTTCTTTGCCTCCCAGTTTGAAGGCAGTTTGAGTCTCTTGTCTTCTTCAACAACCTCCTGATGATTTAGTTTACGGGCTTCATTCTATACACAAGAAAATACCTTAGTAAGTGCAACACTAAAATCTCGTTAGGAAAAAAACCCTGCACTCACTCGTTTGAAATGCAGTTCTCTGAACTTCCGAAGCCTTTCTTCTCTCTTCTGAGATCCGAAGGTTTCGTTGGATCCTCCCTCAGACGCAGCCTCACATGTCTAAGAAGGAGTGTAGAATATGTTTTTAAACCAGCTCAGACTAGAACTACAGGGATTAAGAACAGAATGTTGTAGCATTGACACATTAGCCATCTTAGCACACGCACGTCCCTTTGCTAAAGCAGGAGGCGGATAGACAAGCTACAACAGCACTACAAACATGAACTAACACATTTACTTTCACTAATATAATAATCACTAATAATGAAATATAAAGGAAGAATGGGACAAAAGAGAAATACATTCACCTCGCTGTTAGCCGTGTTAGCGGCCATTGTTGTTGTTGGGTTCCAGATACCGGAAGTGATCGCCGGAAGTGCCGAAGGCATGATAATAAAATAATGTTACAATAATAATGCATAATGTAACAACAATATTCTTATAACAAAAAATAATACCTTTAAGGACATGTATTCGACATTCTATATACCCACCAGTGAAATAAGGAATCTCCTAATTAAGAATAACATAAACCTGTTCAAATAACGTCTTATTTTTTGTTTTAGATATTATATTCAAGACATCCTTTGTGAAAGTAACATTGAAACTATATTATTTGTTTTGTTTCTGTCAAACAAATCGTCAGATATTGAACCCCCTCAAAAAAGGGGCTTAATGGGGCTATGAATAAATAAATAAAGATTCAAAAATGAATAAATGTGTAATCCAGCGTCAGTAATCCTGCCTTTCAATGGATGCAATGTTGGGAAAATGATCGGACCTACAATATTATTCTGTGTAGCAATCTTTTGGCAAAAAGCAAAGCAAAAAAAAAAAAGATTATTTATCAGACATTCACCTGGACCGACTCTGTGGACACGACAAAAAAAAAGTTTTCTGAAGTGAAATTAAAGCTCTGAATGTCTCCAAAGACATCATGTCATTTTATCTGAACAAAAATAAATACATAAATGATTGTGCTGTGATGCGATCACACAAACCCATTTAACACATTAAAGAATTTTCACAAGTTTTTGGGGCAAATAAGGATATTTCCGCCTTGATTGCATTATACTAATCAGTTTGTGGAGGATGTAATTAAGTAGAGTTTATAGTCATAGATTAAAGCATCCTGTAGATCAGAGGCAATGTTAATGAAGTGATGCATTTGTACTTGAAACCAGATGGAGAAGACATCACGACAGAACATCCCTGTAACCATTGATGTAGGCTGCAGCATGAAGTGTGTTAGAACTTACACCTTCTGAAATGTTGCCCTGTGAAACATAGGCATTCTCATTTCTCTCTCTATCGTTCTCGTATATATTTTGAATCTAAATACATACTAAATAATGACACAAGTTGAAATGCTAATGTATTCCAATGTGGATTTTTTACTGCAAATGGCAAATAAACTGAATCTGAATCTGAATGCCGATTTTCACATATAGGTAGTTCAAATTTAGCCAAGTACAGTATAATATTACTTTCTGATAGGACTCCCCTCCCCCCCTGTCAACTATCAATCAATTCTCAGGGCCATTTCACCAATCCCAGCTGTTTGAGTCCTGCACATATCTTTTGTAACACTATAGGCCTACTATATTTGGTTTAAGCAGAGAGAATGGTTGATAGTTTAATACTTTGCCAATGCCTGTCTGGGATTGACAGTACTTTCATACGATATTGTGCAGATTTGTTGATGCACACTGAATGCCAAATTGGCTCATTTTCACCAAGTCCTCACTGTCAGGATACTGTCACTGCTGTTTAATAGCAACAAAGCTTTGGTTGAGAATGACATGGATCGTCAGTATGTTGAGGCCACCCAGGAATACTGAACAACCATTCAATATTAACTTTTCCAGTCAGGAAAATCGGCCTGAAACTTAATCTCTCCAAATAAAATGCAATGCACTAAAATGTCTTCCTGTTACTTACAATGGCAAAGAAAATAAAAAAAATGTCATTGCCATTGTAGGTAACAGGGAGACAAAAACAAGGAATTTGCTTTGGCTCTATGGGTGCAAACAAGTTGAAAGGGTAAATGCATTTTTCAATCAATATAGTGTACAGAGTCTTATTTTGTTTGAACAAAGGATCTATTAGCCCCAACATGGGGGGTGGGAACGCATACAGTTCTAGCAGCTGCTACACATCTGGATATTTATATTAACATCATAGCCAATAAAATCATTCCATTTCCTTAATTACTATTCCTGTCATTTCCGCTGTAAATGAAAAGTTCTTAATTCAGAGCCAACACAAACATGACTCTCCAATCTGAGGAGTTGGTGCAAGCGTCGCCACCCTGACTAGAGGCCGCTGTCACTCGAGTGGAACCACAGCTCCTGCCTGTGCTTAATGTGTGCATGTAGTGCACAGGAGCCAAGAGCCGCACACAAATGAAACACAAGATGGCATCTTGTTTCCATCTCCTTCAGATTGTACCAGCACTAGGACAGACAGACAGGAGCCATCTTGTTTTCTCTAAAAAACCCTTCATGCCGCCCTCTGTATTGTTTTCCAACATTTTAGAGCAACAGCCAGGCCACAAATTCCCATTTACTATTCTCTTCTCTGTCATCTCATTTGAGTTTGCATGAGATGGCTTGAGATATAGAGCTGATAAGATCGTGGTTTTCTGTGCAAAACAAAATTGGAATACACAGTCTAAAAGCCTTAGGCTGAAATTTCACATTTCACCCAGGGTCATATGTCATCAAGCTAATTTTCAGCTGAAAGTGCTCACATTGATGCAAAATGACTGAAGAGAATACTGAGTTATAATGAGGCCAGAGGTCCGTGTAAAGAGCTCTGTGTCTGATTGCCATTTAATGTGTGTATTCATTCAGGCTGATTTGCCAATTAGGATCTCCCTGAAGGCAAAATAAGTTTGAGAGCAACATTAGACAAGGTTACAGCAACTTTATTTTGTATTTGAAAACATTATAGGCCACAGGAGGAAGAGGATTTCTCAGAGATTCTTCATACTTGCACAAAAGATGCATGCACTCCAATACCACCAATATTGTCGTCAATGCTTTTCCTCAACCACACACAATTAAAGTCCCAATTAAAGCCCATTATGGCTTTCCACCAGCAGCAACCACAAAGAGACAGTAGATTGTGGGCACACAAATGTCTCTAGTGTTGTCATCCAAAAGAACTTAGCCTCATCCAGAAACATCATGATCATAATTACTGAAATTAAAATTAAAGTTTTGCAACAACAACAATAAAAACATTTCCAGTAAATCTATGCCAGGAAAGAAGGTAAACATGCACAAAACAAAAAAACAAAAAACAAAGCTTTGCCACAGGAGGGAGACATTTCCCATAAGTTCTACTCATGGATGTATTTTACGCTTCTTAATGTGAAACTGCTATTCAATCTTGTAAAATCATTTTTCAAAAACTCATCTCTTACACATTCACTGCAACTGTGTCTGTTTCCCATAGCCACAAACACCATTGGATTTGAGTTCTCACCACAGATTAAAGCACTGGCTTCTATATCAAGTGTGAAGCATCAGTTCACCACCAACCCACAGACAAGTTCAACCCCAGTGTGTTCCCTTAAGCAAGGCCCAAAAGCGTCATGGGTTTCCGCTCCCCTTTCCCATCTTTTACCCACTGACCTTAATGAGACAACATCTCACTTGGCCAAACAATAGTTGGTTGTATGTAGCTGTGATAAGAGGTGGCCAGTCTACCGCCTCTGGACATGCAGCTGTGAAGGCCAACCCCATCTCTCCTAAGCCAGACACGCAAAAATGTGCTGCCAGACCAAACACTTCACACAGACACACAAATCAAAACGCTTGCAAACATAAAAAAGTAACTCTATTCTCACCCAATATTTTGGGCTCTGAGAACGACCAATCCGTTTAGTGCTGAGAAGCAGTGGGCCCTTTCATCTCAGATTCAAGGCGCCAATGATCTAATTCTCAATCTGATGATGATCAAACCAGTGCCAAATCTCTCAAACCAGTGTCGTCAACAACAACACCACTGTTAAGGCCTAAGTGATAAATGAGCCCTTTCTGTGGTCACTACAGAGTATGCTTAGAACTATTTAGGACACTAAAGACTCTTTTATATTCATGAACAAACTTATTTTGAGGCAGAAAATTGACAATTATTTTTTTCTAGGTGGAGTGCAGTTTCCCCTGGGAACAGTGTCAGAAGGACAAAGTGTAATGTGGGAAATGTATGAGGTTACCACATAAGAATCATATTGTGCAACTAAATCTTTATGCATGAAGCATTTTGTTGTTGAATAGTAGAGCACAAATGTTATCAACTTATACACTATGTATAGAAAAGAATACTGCGTAAAACAGTATGTCTGTCTGTGTGTGTGTACATGTGTATGTGTGTGTGTGCGTGTGTGTGTGTGTGTGTGTGTGTGTGTGTGTGCGTGTGCGTGTGTGTGCGCGTGTACATGTGTGTGTGTGTGTGTGTGTGCGTGTGTGCGTGCGTGCAATAGGTTGTGGTGGGATTTCTCGGGTCAGATCACACATTCAAAAGTATCCGAACTAAGAACTGTGACAGAAGGGGCATTGAGTAAACGAGAGAACATTTTGAAATTAAGCATCTATCCAACATTTTAACAAAGTAAAGAAAAAATAGATGCACAGTAAAGAAAAGGATCTACAACAGCACATATAAACAACAACAAAATTGGCAAGTTAAATATGCTTGATGTTAAAATGGTGGTGTTTTCTGTGGTCAGAGCTAAAGTGTCATATATTCAAGAAGTGGGGGATTGTCTCAGCCTGATATATTACATTAGGTTTTGTTTTTAATGAATGGAACGTTTCCTTAATGTGACCTTTAAAGTAACAGAGTGAAAACTGGTTCCTACAAAAGCACAGAGACATGGAAATCCAGACAAAGGGCAAATGATGTGTTGAGAAAAGAACAGGCATGAGTGACCAAGTGGGAAGCACGTGTAAACAGTCCATGTCGAAACCAGATATGGGTCAATCCTAAAGGTAATATAGAGAAAATGTGTTTAGCAGAGTCCATTAAAAGCAAAAGCCTCAGAGGGAGTGCTTCAAGATGGACGCAGAGCTCTGATGGAGGCAGTGTAGACAGTATGAGCCCAGGTTGTCCTTGTGACTAATGGAGTGGGATGGCCTCAGACTCCCAAGGCCCCACACAAGTCTGTGATGAAGTTAGAGCGGCAGCACTCGGGCATAGACAAAGCACAGAGGAGGTGCACCCATCTCCTGTTGCTGTTCGATGTAATTTGGGATCGCATTGCAGCGGAAGCACATCTGACAGAGGAGGAATCTATTGGATTCAGCTCAGACATCATAATAATATTGAGTCTTGTTTTAAAACACACAAGCTTCGGAAAGTATCATTGCTTTAATAGCTCCAGAGCTGGGAGAGCATCCAGAGAAGGCTATGGTTAAATACGGCGAGATTTGAATGAGGAGATGAGTGGGGTTCACCTGACACAAAGACAAATCCCTGCTTTTCTTTATAGTTCTTCCCAGTGCCCCTATGACTTTTCCTATGTGGTTAAGCGGCTCTTGGCTTGTTCCACTGGTGCGACGCCATCTCCATTATAATGCCATCATTACTGCCTGCCAAGCCAGAGAGCACATGATGTCACTTCCACCCATGGTCATGGTGGTTTGGGTCTAGCCACTGGTGCATGTGACAATGTGTGCCCTGCTAGTGAGCCCTGAGGCAGGCAGTTAGCCATCAGATCCACGCCCTTACAGAGTTTCAGCACGGTTCACCCTCTCATGTAGACATTCTGGCTGTTTTGATGCCCCCATTCATTCTAAATTCAACCTTCCTTCCCATGCAGTTACAGTTTGCATGAAATCTACTACTGTCATTCAGCGAGATGCTTTGAAGCCATGCTGTGAGGCGGAAAGACGCGGGTCGGGAGCAGCAGTGGCTGATGTATAGCTTCTGGAGAGGAAACAGAGCACAGGCGCTGAGAGAAAGTGGAAATGTTCTGATGGCACCATGCCTGCTGCACATGGCCCACTCTCCACTGCATTTACAGGCAGCTTTCTTCTGCTGCCAGGCGGGTGGGAGATGAGAGAGAGCCGTGTGGGCGCCTGGGCCGACACACTGCTCCGATCAAACACACTCAAAGCAGGCAATTAAAGATGGGGAGAGAATCTCTAGCAGTTGTTGAATAACTACAGACGCTTAATTAATCTCTGCTATTTATTCAACAAATTGTCTACTTTGTATCACGCAAGTAATTCTGCAACAATTCCTTTCAACTGCTCCCCTCAAGTTTCATTGCTACAAAGGTTCTCATTTGGGTGCTTTTATTGTAATGAATACAAACTGTTTTAGTTGATTTAAGTGCTTAAGTGTTTATTTTAGCACTGTAGCAATGGCTGAGAAATACATTTATGTCACAATGTTAAAATAGTTTTTTATAGAATTATTATCGATCGAGATGTCCTTCAGCCGCTTCACTTCAGATTTGCTGTTGAAATGTCCTGATTTATGTTACTAGGTATAATTGATCATATTATAGAGGCATGTTTGACTACACATCCAGGATACCAAGAGGGTTCCAGAGTAAATGCACACAAGTTTCTGATCAGTGCTGTCCTTCAGAATAGATCAGAAATCATTATGAAGCTTGAAACATCTTCTTTTCAATATAGTAAGTCTCGTATGGTACACATTGTAACCATCATCTGTAATTTCCAAGCTGGCAACAACTTTGCACACACGCACACAGGCAACACAAACACACACGGTGCAAAGCCACTGTTGTCCCTGAAACATCTTACTATACTTCAGGATGAGCGGTGGCTCTTGCTGCAGCCGGATGAAGAGGGAGGAAGACGACACTCATCATGTGGAGAATTGAGGCCTGACTGCTTCCCGCGGCAGAGGACATAAAACATTTCCGTTGGGAATGTGGTCTGATGTACGCCTTAAGACACAAACACGGGAAGAGGTGTGATCCAAAACTTAAAATCAAGACAAACAAAGAAAAGCAAGTATAACATCATGTTTTTAGGAGCAGGCTCAAGACACACCTTTTCAGATCAGCTTTTTATCTGTGTTTCTTGTTTATTATTTTTTGTATTTCATAAATCTATGAGACAAACTTTACAAATGATATATCCTTCTCAATTTCTGTATGGTATGTACATTTTCCAAAACTAAGTTTGTAAAAAAAAAATCTATGAGATAAACTGTATTTTCTCTATGTATTGATATAATTATTTATTATTGTTATAATTAATTTGCAATAGTCCTTTTAATATAACATTTAAATAATTTCCTTTTTAATGCATTGGCTTTGTATCCCCAGTATTTTCTCTACACAGGGAGCGGTGGTCTGCTCTGGAGAGCACTGGTCTGGAGGTCTGGAGCCTCAGCTTCATGTCTCCTCTGGGTCCTGTGTCGTCCCCTGTGGCTGCAGGCGACTCTCTGCTCCTGGTGCAGATGGCTCCTCGGATGGTGCTTCTTCAGCTGGCTACCCTGGCATCCAACCTTATACCTTTTCATTGTTTTACCTATTTTGACTGTGACTGTGTGTGTGTGCGTGCTTGCTTGCGTATGTGTGTGTTACTTTTGGGATTTTGGGGTGGGTCTGTTGGTTGGTTGGGGTGACGTGTCATGGGCTTGTGGGATTGTTTTTTGCCAAACTGTAAAGCACTTTTGTGTTGCACTTTTTTATATGAAAAGCCCTTCATAAATACAATTTGATTTGATAAGAAAATCCCATTGATATACGCTTGAGCGCATCAATATGGATGTACAGTAAATTATAGGGAAGCATCTTTGCCACAGCTGCTTATTATGGTGAAGAAGTATGTAGTCTGTCACACCCATTGTAATCAATGATACAAAAGTAGGATTTGGATAATATTGTGAAATACAAAATGGGATGTCATATAAAGTGAGGTAACCAGACTAATTATTTAGTAATGATGCTGATCATATATTTTGTAGGCCCATAGATCCACCTGAAGGACACATGAGAGTGATATGGGCTTAAAGCTTGACCCTTAGATCTCTGTCTCCTGCAAATCACTGAAGGCAAGAGGAGCCAGCACCAGTGAATGGGAGGTTTGAGACAGATTTACAACAGATGACTTTCCAAACTGATAGAGGCCTTAAGTGGCTTGATCTTGCAAAAGTTCTTGTCTCAAGTGCAGTCACAGTTGACAAAGACAATGTAAACTTGGCCCAGAAACATTATGTGATCACTGACCTGTCTGGCACTGGCAGCCTCGACCCAGTGAAGACTTATGGCCTTTGTCTACCACATTCATTAACAGCCCTTCAGACAGGAAACCAGAGCCAAAGCTGCAGTCTCCTTTCATGTCTCATCCCATTTGCTTGAAGAAACCTAATTTTTCATTATTTACTGTATCAATTCCAGACTGATATTCCAGCAATATTGTGAATGGCCAGGGCTTGATGTTTCCAATCAGTTGCTGTTGAAATATTGAACCACAGCGCATTGGGCAGGTGAGGGTGAGCTTTAGTGGGCTGTCATGCCACATTAAAGAGTTGGCCTCATACAGCCACACGTCCAGGCGTAATAGTAATGACCTTTGGGAGTTTGAGTGGGAGAAACCTTAATACTGGTGTTTTATGATCTGGCGGTGCTGTGGACAAAGCAAATAATCACCAGACACAGACAAGCAGGTAGTTTCACTTAACCTCTGCTCAGGGCCCAGAGCCTCTCTAACTAAAAGCACATGGATGCCTACTGCACTATAACAGAGAGAGCGAGAGTGAGAGCGGGAGAGAGAGGGTGATTATTCCTAATATAAGCGCAATAAATTAGACATCTTTCACAGCACTGAAGTCACAGCCAGTAGCAGACTTTTCCTGATGTGGAGAGTTCCTCAGGTTTCCAAAGCCGCATACAATCGGTACTTGAACAAGTCACAATTGTGGGTGTACCTGCCCGGGCAAATGGACCAGGAGCATACATCTGGTGGACTGTGGTCTGCTGTTTACTGGATGTCTGTGGCCTGTGGCTTTGTCTTCTAACCATTAAAGTGTTTGGTGTTGTTCAAGGCCGCTGGGTTCTATGGTAAATCCTGCCTATCAAGCAGCCACTCCTAAGGGCAGTGCAGCCACAGATACCCCTGAGAGGTTGTGGGAGAGGAGAGTGATGGAAGAGGAAGTGTGGGTTGTTGAGCATGTCTTGAGAGTACATGTACAGAACATATCAGAGGCGTATAATACTCGCATGTGTGCTGGGGGTCACTGACCATCCATCGTGTCGGCGCAGTCTGCCACACTGCCCAGATAACTTCTCCTCTGGCCGAGTACTGCTATCAGGTTCCCCCATGTGGTTCTGCTTAGACCGCGGGGGCTTCGCTGCCGTCTGCAGACAGCGTCAAGCCACAAGGCCTCATGGCACGTTCTGTGGAGGAACACACCATGATCTCTGCAAAATTTTCTTTCCCCATCAATGCAAACGTCATCATTTTGAATACTAATTCCTTTCAAAAGATATCTCAACTTAAGAAAGCAAAAACAATTCAATGCTGTGTGATATTAAGTCAGCAGACTGCCTGTGTTGCACAATGATACACTCAATCACTGTACATTTGTATTGATGAGGCCTGACAGCTCCCAATTCCAATAGAGTTGTGGACATCTGATCCGCACACTCCACCCTAAAACTGGGAGGGGAGGAAAAATGCACTGCCTCTGTCCTGAGACGCCACTCTATAAAAGCAGAACCTAATTTCTTCTTCCAGTCATGGAATATGATAATTTTCTTATTTGCAAGAAATATCAATTGCTCAAGACGGACACATAATCATTGGGGAGGAAAGAAGAAGCTACCTGTGTAATGTGCTTAACAGGCTAACCCATTTAGCCACAGGCGCTGTTTGAAAATGAGAAAGTGCTAATGGTCAAAATCAATTTTCTCTGTGTCCAAATTACTCCCTGACTGGCTTAGGATTTCACCTAAATGGCTAAACCTTAAAACACTGATACTAATTCTATCATATTAGAGCTGGTCATATAGTTGCAGTTATTGCTAATGCTATTTTACCGTATTTATTGATGTAGGAAGATGACTCGAAGGCCAAGGAACATGGAGTCCTCTTACTGTTTATGCCTGCACTGCAGCTGTCCCTTAACAATCTACTGTATGTAACAACGTCCTTCCTTCACAATCACAGTTATTCAACTGTATCTAATTCACTTAAAGCTAGTTTTAATTATAGATTCACACAAACTCAAATAATTTTTTTTGCAAGGAATCATCATTAAATGCCTTTGATGTGCTATTTTACAATATACATACAACATTCAGTAGAACTAAACTAAAAACAAATGCATTAAATCAGATGTTCATTATAGCACAGGATCAGAGTTAATCTCATATATCTGTGGATTTGTGTTGGGGTTGGCTTGTGGCCATCCACCGTCCACCTGGGCTAGCCACATCATAAACAACAGCTGAGCGTCAGCTTCACTTTTGTATCAACATAGCCACACTGGCCGCTGGCTGGAGCCACACATAGGTATTATATCCACAAGACTTCCTGCAGCAACACAACCCCAGCAGAACGGCTACAGCCCAACAAGCTAAGGTTCTGCTCAAAAGCTTTTGCAATTATTGCAATATATGGGAAAATACATATTTGTTGTGTTTTTAAAGAAGCAGTATGGAACTTTCAAATCCATTGCGGTATCAGTTGGAAATATCAATATTGAACATTCTCCATGAAAATGTAAAATCTTTTGGATTGTTTTTGATTGCCTTTTTGTTATGGTTAAATTCAGGCTGCTGTGCTGTGAGTTGCACATTCACAATAGTTTGAATTGCGGAATAGGACTGCATTGTGCTAACATCCAGTGGTAAATGTTCAGTAACTGGCAAACGTTGAGTGAGAAGACGCTAAAAAACTCATTATTTGTAAATTAAAAGAACATTGTTTATAGTGTTTTTTTTTTCATCCAGTTCTTTTCTCAAAATCCAAAATCCTACAATGACAATCTCTTTCACAGGACACTTTCATTGAGAATATTTCTCAGCCAGAGCTCGCCTCTCGTCTGTGTTGCTATCTATCTGTTCTCTGGTCTCCCCGGTCCTATGGTCATGATAACGTCAGGTCAGCCTAACAGCCTTTGTCAGCTCTTCAGGCGTGAAGAAGGTATATTGTAACCATTTGGGCAGAAACGGGCCGGCTTTCCCGATATTGACTCGGAGTCTGTGCAGTAGAAGAAGGGGAGGCGTAGAATAAAGTGACACTAATGGAGCACTGATGACAAAACAAGGCGCGCACAGGGACCACTTTCCAGCGTTTTTAATTCTTAATGTTGTCGCCTCAGGTTTCAATACGTCCTGGGCCCGGGGCAGCTGCCTATGCCCGGACGGATCAGGCGTGAGGATTAGGATTTCTTGGTGAGGAAATGGTCATGTGATTTACTGTTGCTGGAGAAGCTCTACAGGTGGGCGAGCGTGCAGGGGGGGATAGGATGACCCCCATCTCGCTACGGAATCAAGGCTGTTGTGACCGGGCCCAGAGAGAACAGCGTCACCCAATACTTTGAAAACACACTTTGATAGCAATTAAATATTAATACGGAGAATCATAGCCTGAGAGCTGTATCCACATTACACGGAGCATGCAAATCGCTTCAATCGGTGTGCCAACTGAAATAGCATCTGTAGTGTTGTATAAATAAACCAGCTAACATTTATTAATATAGCCTAACTGGCGATTGAAAGGATAACACAGGAAGCAATTTCTGTAATGATTCTGTTCTCATTTTCTTTAGCCAATTTGAGAGGTGCATTCCTCTACTGTACTGGTGGCTTGATATATTATGTTAATTTAAATGTTTGGTTTAAAACATGCACATTTTCCAATTATGGAAGATTTCAGGAACAATGAGGGACTCTCATCTCCATATAGTAGATATAAATTGTATCACAGCAAAGTTAAGTCAAATGGTTGCTTCCAATGTAAAAGAAAAGTTTATGGACTAACAGTATAAATATCCAGGTAAAAAAGTAGCACAACCAGGAACGCATCTTTAACAATAAGCACAAAAAACCTTGATAACATTTCTTAATATGATTCATATGCAAATTATGTTTATATATAGGCCTATAATAAAACAGTACTGTAAGCTGCTATTATTTCTTTTAGCCTTTCTCTTGGTTTATCCCATAATCATGCAGGATTCCTCCCAATAGGAAAACATCCTTCGTTCCTCCTCACCCGTGTCTGTCAGCAATTCTGTGTGGGCCTGGACTCAGTCTGGGGCCAAAAATATCCCCCGATGGCTCCTCGAGGATGGGATCTGCCGCACTGACCACAGGCACACAGCCCTAAAAATACAGCAGCCCAGCCCCATCTCTGCCCTCATTTACTCGTTAGCACTGCACAGACATAGGAAAGGAACAGTGTGTGTTTGAACAATACTCTTACAACTCAAAGAAGCAGAAAAGTGCGAGACAAAATGCTTTTCTAGAACAGACTGAATATCCAGTTGCTTGTGTGGCGTGGGAGAAAGATATTAAATGCCATAAAGCTGTCAGGGTGCAGTGATTGATGGCGGCGTGGCTGGCGCGGTTTGATAACTATCGTCACGTCACTTATTCTCTCCTATTATCTGCAGCATCTAATGAAAGAGCGAGTGGCGTTAAGTGAGAAAGAACGTGTTTAATTGCAGTATATTGTTTAATGAAGATGTGTTATTAGACTGCATTCCCCTTCGATGGCTCACTCACGACAGGCGGGTGCAATGCCAGCTCTGGTGTTGGGAGGCGCGCAATGTGTAGGTGCTGTTCCTATCACATTCTTGCCAGCAGCCAGAACAAGCCTGGGCCAACTCACATGTGTTTGTGTGTATGCAATTCTCTTGTTGTGCAAATATGTTGTTCTCTTTATGTGTTTTGTGAGTCATTTTTCAAACTAAATTTGAATGTGTGCATGTGTCAACAGCTGGCACGCCTGCCAGTAGTGCTGTATACACAAGCAAAGGTATTCTGGCTGAGGTTACGAGGTGGGTGGGGGGCCATAGCTGCGCTGAATGAGGCATTTAGTGCTGACAGTTAAAAATACCCCGAGTGGACCCCGAGCAGGAGTAGTGGCGCTGCTACTCTGGTGGAGCCGCTGTAAGCCATGAGAGCACACTTCACTCCAGGCCTTGTTCTCAGCCTGCTCTGAGCTGCGGCTGAGCCACTCCCGATATAAGATAATGGTTAACCAAAGCTATGAGTGCAAGCCTGGAGTGCTCCCACATATGAAGGCATGTGGCTCATTTATGGGCACGCACCGGGCTGTTTGATATTCAAAAGTAAACAAGTCCTATCTCTGTGTGCTGCTAAGTTACATTATGTTTTATCTACACTAAATGATATTAAAGATAGTGAACAGATTTATAGATGTGACAAGTGGTGCAGATAACACAAGTTTTATCTTGCAGAGGGAGAACCAAAGAAGTAAATAGAACAAGAGCGAAAGCAGAATGAGGATCACAAACCTTCTCTCACAGCAGAGATTTCCAACTCAGCAGCTTCACTGAAGCACACTTCACCTTCTGATATTTTAAAGTAGACCAAATTCAGTGTCACCTTCACTGGATGCACTTATTATTTAAATTTATTCATTTTAGTTGTCCACAATATTTTAAACAGTTTGTTGTCCCTGTCTCTACACCTTTTTCACTCCGAAGGTCTGATTGTCTCACCTTTTATGTTCCAAGAGTTTTTAAAGAAGTTGGATGCAGATCATTTCAATATAAGGCTCCATCAGACTGAAATAAACTCCCCACATCCGTAAGATCCATTCTGTCTTTTGGTTTATTTAAGTTTGAATTATTTAGGTTCCTTGAAACTCCTTGTTTATGTCAATAATGTTTTGTGTTCTGTGTCATTATTGTAATAATAGTTTTACTTGTTTTTTTCTAAATGCTTAATTTTAGCAGAGGGGAGGAGTGCGGTGCGAAGGAGCATTTGTTTGGTTTTGTTTCATTTTGTTGTTGTTTTGTTTTTTCATCTTTATTTTGCTGTAAATTGTTTTTGTGTATGTGTGTTTGTTTAAATGTTTGTATTTATGTTTAGGACCCCCTCGAAAATGAGATGATTCATCTCAAGGGGTTTTCCTTAGTGAACTTAAACTTCAATTCAAAATAGGGGTAAGCTCCTTTAGCCGCAACTGCCTTTGTGGCAGACTGGCAACAGTAAGGTTGCCAATGTACATTCACAGACGCACCAGATCATACTAGCAAGGGGGATGAAGCATCAGTCGTCCTCTCTGTGATGTCCCATAACAGAACTGCACTCCTGAGCGTCTGAGATCACCAAGTATGGCCATTGGTCACAGATATAAAATAGCCTTGTGGCTAATTCTGGTACATAATCTTAATTAATGTACACTGTCCCTGTCAAATAAACAAACATAAATTACATCCATGGAGAATCCCACATGAAGTATGATATATTTGTATTATATGTAACTATTTACCTCAGGTGGGTTGTTAATTTATTATTAATTATAAGAACGACTTAATAACTGATGATTTTCAGACAATGTTCTGAAAACGTTGACTTATCCCTCAATCATTTCAGAAAGACTCAGATCATGTACATTGGGAATGTAACAATTTAATTTCAGCGATCGAGTCCATTAAATCATTTTAGTCAGAGGCAAATGGAGCGCTGTTTGCAGTTTATGGTACTTGAAAGGCTTCCTCTCATTTATTGATAGCATTACAGTAATATAGGTGTTTATGATAGGTGTGGGGCTTATTCAGAATGAATAAAACATTCTCTCTCCCTATGTAATGAAGGATGCAGTTGGACATAAGTGCTTTTTGTTTGTTTTGTTTGGTCTCCTGTGAGTGAGAGCACCATTAACTTGAGAAACATTTTTACCAGTGGTTTGTGAAAGCATTGTCTAAAATGTACGGGGAAATGCTTCCAGTGCAATGTTTGGGATTAGAAATTCAAACAAGTCTAAAAAAGTGGCTTAAAAGTCACTGCTGTACTTAAAGTATTCATGCAAAGCAATCAAACCATTCAAATGTAATTCTATGTTTTTTAAGTCAATGCTGCAGTGGATTTCAGAGAGTGCGAAGTGTTTCCTCATAAAGGGTGAACATGGTCGAAGAGTGTTTTTCTATAATACATATGTAGCTCGCGAAAATTCAATTTGGTAGACGTCAGCCAAAAGCTACCCCCTCCAGGCCGGTTCGCTTCCCCAGCCTATCGCTCGGCAAACGCCCCCTTCCAATCATCCGTGCCGGACAGGCAGCCGCTTAAAAGCGGAGCAACTCCCACTCTCTGCCTTCTCGAAGCCTCGCAAGCTCCTGAAGCCTTGCAGAGAATCGTCTGGAGGAATCGTTTTCGTCTACTCACGCTACTCGGCGCGTCCCTGGCGTCCTCCGTCTGGCTGCTTGTGGTCTGCTCCTCCTCCGCGTCCCTGCACTGGTCTGCTCCTCCTCCGCGTCCCTGCACTGGTCTGCTCCTCTTCCACGTCCCTGCACCTGCTGTGGTTCGCATATCTCCACTGCTCTCCTCCTCTGCGGGCTCTTTCTGCGGGCTGCTCCGCGGGGCCCTCCGCGGGTTTCTGTGCGGCTCGTTCCTCGTGGTCTGCTGCCGCACGCAGAAGGTCTGGCGGTGCCGCGTTGTCCCGTTGCTTTCCCAAGTCTCCTGGCATGTGAGTACAGTGAGTGTGCTGACCGCGGACAGATTAATCCCGGAGTTCCGGGCTGCAGGCGATTGGTTTTTGCCCTACGCACTTGACTGCAGGCGCCAGTTTTTTTTCGCCCCGAGCTTGGTCTGCAGGCTCCGTTTCACATGTGTCTGAGCTAACCGAGGGGCAATGCATATTAAATGGCATCAATCTCTATCGTCTGAGGGATATACGAGGAGCTATGTGCATTAATTCAGATCATGTTCTGCCACTTGCAGTAAAACCATGCATTAAATAGCTAGGTCGCTGGTATTAAATTAGGTAACTAACTGCAGTGTTGCATTTTGAAAGTGCAGCAGGAAGAAAAAGGGCCAAACGTGAATCTGCAATGGGTGTGAAGTAGTGTTGGAGCTATGAACGCATGGATCAGTGATCGTTCATGCGCATCTGCCATAACCAAAGCAGAAGATGGCTCCAGGGGACGTCTGTTATTCGCATGGGAATGTTTCGGATTCGGGTTGATTTATTCCCTCAGGCTCTTAAACAACCGTGGGTTGGTTCTCTGACCGCCGCTGCTGCCGGTCCCCGCTGCCGTTCCTACTGATGCCTGATCCCGCCGCTGCTGTTCCTGCTGCCGCTCCTGCTGCTGCCTGTTCCTGCTGCCGCTCCTGCTGCTGTCTGTCCCTGCTGCTGCTCCTGCTGCTCCTACTACTACATGTGCCGCTGCCGTTCCGCAGGCTCCCAGGCTGCACCCGTCTCTGTGGCTCGGCTCTTTCAGACACGTACGTAACCTGGCTCACGGAGACAAGCGGCGCACGCCGGCGTGACACGTCTGTCTGTTTCTATGAATCGCTTCGTGGTGCTGCTGCTCCTGCTAATGCTGCTTCTGCTGCTTCATACTGTTACCGCTACTGCTGCTACTGCTGCCGCTGCTGCTTCATACTGCGACTACTGCCGTGCTGCTGCTGCTTCATGTACTTCGTCATCTCTCTTCACTTCGCTTCTCTTACTGAAACACTAAACAGCTACAACATATTCTACTGCCGTGGCTTTGATACAGGGTTTTGCCGTTATTATCTACGGATGCAGCAGCTGCTGCTGCCGCGGCTGATACAGGTCGTTGCCGTTATTATCTGAGGTTACTGCCGCTGCTGCTACTGCTACTGCTACTGCTGCAACCCACTCTCTCAGAAGCTTATCCTGCTTCTAATGGATGCAGCCCGGCCGAGTATGCCGCGCGGCACTGGACTCGCACCTATGCTCCCAGGGTCACTTCGGCGGTCGTGCTTCATCTCTCTACTTAATCTTCTGATTCTATCAGATGCAGCTGGCCGAGTAGCTGCGCTGAGCCGTCAATTGGACTCCTAATCAAAGGCATCCATACCGTGTTCTTCACTCTTCTGATCGCAGGCTCCCCATCATGCTGCCCATCCTGCAGCGGCACTGAACTCCGGCTCATCTTCCAAGTACATGTCTGCCCTCCTCGCAGCATCTTCCTGCTCGCCTTCCATGGCTTCTCTGCATAAGCGTTCACTACTGCACACTCAACCTTCGTGCGGTCCGAGACACGGCTTTTCCCGACCATCCTACTATCCTGATTATCTACTCTCCAACCCAAGATTCTAAGCGTAAGGGCGCCTGCAACTTCATGGCCCTCTCCGATATGTCTCTGCCCCTCCAGGTCTCGGCTTCTACACGGACGTGCCCCTTCCGTGGGTTTTGGGGGGTTTATTTCCAGGACCATCGCGGCCTCGCTGGGGCTCCCCCACACCTCTCTGCAACAGCTGGGGCGCCGGTCCTCTGCGGCTTTCTCCGCCTACATCAGGCCAGACGCGTCCGCTATCCTGCCTGCACAACGTCAACTGGCTTCCTCGTAAGCTCCCAGCAAAGCAATACGAAGCAAAGTAAGTGAACCAATAAGATTCTGGTGGCGGCACGCACTTCTCTCAAACACTCTCCGCTGCCGCAGCGTCTGACGGAACGTGATGCGAGCGCTCACGTTCCCAGCGCGCAAAGACAACCCTGCCGCAGCGTCTGGTTGATTGTGATGCGAGCGCTCACGTCCCAGCGCTCAAAGATAACCCTGCCGCAGCGTCCGGTTGATCGTGATGCGAGCGCTCACGTCCCGGCACTCAAAGATAACCGCATATAACGGTCACAGCACATAGTGATAGCGGTCATAGCGTTAGTGATAGCGGTCATAGCGTCAGTGATAGCGGTCATAGCGTCAGTGATAGCGGTCATAGCGTCAGTGATAGCGGTCATAGCGTCAGTGATAGCGGTCATAGCGTCAGTGGTAGCGGTCATAGCGTTAGTGTTAGCGGTCACAGCATAGCAAAAAATGGTTAGCGCATAAACGGTTCACAGCATAGAGATAGCGGTCACAGCATAGCGATAGCGGTCACAGCATAGCGATAGCGGTCACAGCATAGCGATAGCGGTCACAGCATAGCGATAGCGGTCACAGCATAGCGATAGCGGTCACAGC